GAACAGGGAGAGGAGAAAGCCGGCCACCGCTGTAAAAATGACGCAGTAGACACTGCCCATTATATTAAACACAGATTTTAGCTTGTTTTATGCGTTTTACTAAGAAATACTCTCTTATAAAACATTTTTTAAAATAAAGCACGTATTTTATAGTGCTTAATGTTACCCGTTGTAGTCATATGTGTGCACAGAGGTGTGGCTTTTATTACTCAAATGCGTGCAATAAAAAGCTTTAAAAAGCACAAGCTTGTACATTATGCGGAATAAAAGATATGACATATAGCACGGTCCTAACATTATCTGTACCGAATGCAAAGCGAATCGTGCGATGAGAACGTGAGATAACAGTTATGTAATACGCAGCATGTAACAATAAGCACGCATTTATGCGCATGCACAAACGCAATAAACGCAGGTTTCTTTGCTGAATAATACTCGATAAGGCGGGAATTCAAAAGCGATTGCATCAACATCGTCGATAATGAGTTCGAAAGAAAAGTGGCGCCAAATCACGCTTCTTCCATGCACAGCCATTGTGACTTGCTGAACGCACACGGATGACACTGACAGCCAAAACTAATACTGCACCATTATTCAATGCTTTACAGTTCCTGCTCGCTTTCAACATGTGTACATCTGTCAAAATATATCTGGGCTCTACATAAAACAAAATTGAATCGAAATATCCTCCCGCTTCGGCGTTTATCATATTACAAGCACATGTCTGATATAAAACAACTGCTTTTAATACTGAACGCCAAGCCAAGCACGTTACACTAAACACCCTGAAAACAATATTGCAATGACCCCCGGAGATCAGGTAATATGCAGATAGCATGGCATAGAATGATTAGGAAAAAGTAAAACTAACACGTCGATGTAATAATTATAATATAGACCGCTTTACTAAGTGACAGATGAATTTGCGCCAAAATCCCGTAAAGTGTGATTGGACGCACTGCTTCTGACGTCAGGAACAAAAGATATGGGAAGTGTCTTTTCCTCCTTTTAAAAGTTGATCAGCATTTGTAATGTAGCTTTTCTACACAGGCACAGTTACACTGTTTCATTTTAAACTGATTTAGTATCCCATCAAAACAAAAGCGAGTCCTGATTTTTTGGGTCACGACCCTACTGGTTAGAGAAGTGAGAAATAATGGGATCTGCTAATGTATGGAGCTAGTCTGAAGTTGAGTGCTGAGATCAGGCGGACGCTCGCAAACTCCTCCTCGTCGCACTTCTTACCACGATATTACTACATTACACGCAGTGTTTCACGCACAACGCATAATAACAGCGTTAAACGATAAGCTTGTGTGAACTACATCGAGAAATCCCACAACAGGCAGATAGTAAGAATAAAAACGCGATCAGAAAGGGGAAAAAAATCTCCATCTTGAAGTCAATCCAGCACAGCTGTTTTCGGGATTCTCCATTTTGGCTCCGCTCGCTTCCAGTCATTATGCACGCGCACCGATCACACGCGTACATATAACGCGTAAAAATGAACAGCGAGGGTGTTTAATATTGATAACGTGGCGATATTAGCATATTAAGTGCGACATCAGCTTTTCCATCTCGGAAAGAGGGGGGAAAACATCGCGTCCTCGTCCTCCATCTTGCCTCTCAATTTGTGTTCCTGACTGTGCAGGGTAAGGTTAGCCCGCTAGCTAACTGTTTACCAATGAAACGTCACACAATACATTAACTACACTCGTTCCTGAAACCACAACAAGCTTTTATAAATTCCCACGGAGAGCAGCGAGGTGATTTTTAGGATTTAAACACGGCAACGGAAGCACGGCGGCTCGTTTCGGATCCTGTCCCTCGCTTATCAAGCTAGCACGGCTAACACATCATCCAAATAACCCTAAAGCCACTAATTTCTATAAATCTCTCCGCCATTTTACCACTTACCCGATCGTCAGGGTCGATTCCGGATTGTTTATAAGGTGTTCTTGTAGAGCTGGATGGACTCCGGTGGCTTTAAAGTGCGCGTTCGCGGCTATTTCATGGATGTAGTTTGAAAGTGGCGGTCAGAGGCGGTTTTGGACACGCTCTTACCCCGCTTGCTCCGTTCGGTTTGTTGTTCCGATCACTCAGAGAGAAACCGCTGGTGTTGAGCTGCCACCTGGTGCTCAGTGGAAGCATTTCACCGAGCTCTACACTGACGTTTAGCGGCCGGGAACCTTAGGTGCAAAAAAAAAAAAAAAAAAGATCACAGATTATAATCCAAGAAATAGGTTTACTAATACTAAATTAAAATATTTGTCACGTATACCATATTTGTCCATTTATTTTCATTCAAAACACACATTTTTAAAATAGTGTCAAATATAAAGGTATAGTAAATGAACTATAGTGCATTTGCATGAATTACTTATTAAATGTTTAAACAGTCTGACAGCTAGGTGTCACTACAGTGTTTCAGAATAACTCTCAGTGTTGCTCAACCAAGTTCCTGAAGGACCACCAGCTCTGCACATTTTTCAGGTCTCTTAACCAAACACACCTGATTTAGATCATCAGCTCATTAACAGAGACTGAAAGATGTGACAAAGGAGACATCCAAAACATACAGTGTTGGTGGTCCTCCGGAGAACATGGTTGAGAAACACCGTTAAATGCATATAATATAACATAATATACTAAAATGAGTCAATCAATTAAATGTACACTTCAAAAGTCCCTAAATTTGCTAGATTTATTGTGTTTCTTGATTTAATATGCTTTATTTTATATAATTATAATGTAACAACATTTCTTTCAAATTACACATTTATTATGTCATTTACAGTTTTTTTAATGACATTTGGTTGACGAATGGTTTTGAGTTAATCAATTGATATTGTGTCTAAAAATGAATAAAAATTTATGTAAACAGGCCACATTTCTCACCATAAAGCCAAGCAAAGTTCTATAAAACAATTTTATTTATTTTAAAATTGGAAGTAATGGCAAAAGTAGTTTACAATATAGAACCAACATTGTTTTAATCAAACATATTAGGAGAACATTTTCAATCTTTTCCTTAATTATTGTTTATTTATTTTTATAGCTGTGTAATTCAATTCAAGTTTATTGGTATAGCACTTTTAGAACTAAACTATTAGCTTTTAACAGTTGAAGTTCTTTAACATAAACACAGTTAACCTGTAGTTATATAGCATATATGCAATGTCTGTGTGTACATGTTCTATGAATTGTATTTGCGTATTAAGTGCATGTGTTGTCCTCAAAGGTTGGCATCATCTCATCACTGTTGATGTATCTCATAAAAAGGCGCTGCACAATCTCTAGAGCAGTGGTTCTCAAACTGTTTTACATGTACCACAAGTGGTACACAAGCTTCCTTCTAGTGGTATGTGGAGGAATCGCTGAATAATTCAAGTAACAAAAAATTAACTCTTTTAATTTTAATAGGCTAAACTTTCTATTTTATTTTAATTTTGCTAATGTTTGTTATGTATTCTATCACTTGAGGTTATTTTCCTCCCCATACTCCCCATTGGGGGCATATCTTGTACATTTTTATCCATGTTGACAGGTATAGTTTAATCACTTGCTTCTCTGACACACATAGGCTACTCTAACGAGCAGTAAGCTGCAACTAGTTTTTATTAATTTAAATATATAAATCCAACTCATACATTTAAAACACAAATTAACATTTACATTTTAAAAATATATACAAATAAGTCATATATACATACAACATTCATTCATTCACTCATTTTCTTGTCGGCTTAGTCCCTTTATTAATCCGAGGTCGCCACAGCGGAATGAACTGCCAACTTATCTAGCAAGTTTTTACGCAGCGGATGACCTTCCAGCCGCAACCCATCTCTAAGAAACATCCACCCTCACATTCACACACACACACTCATACACTACGGACAATTTAGCCTACCCAATTCACCTGTACCGCATGTCTTTGGACTGTGGGGGAAACCGGAGCAGGAGCACCCGGAGGAAACCCACGCGAAGGCAGGGAGAACATGCTAACTCCACACAAAAACGCCAACTGAGCCGATACATACAACATATATTTCAAAATTGATAAAATATGTATATAACCTGACAGACGAGTCTTCACATTGATCCTGTGGGCCACTTTGAACACTCGCTGGTGACCTGCCCACACCTGCAGCTTCTCCCTATTGGACGTCCAGTGTTCTCCAACCTCCAGCGCCTAGACTGCAGCTCTACACGAGAAGTTTGGCCAGAGAAGAAATGATCGTGCCCAACAGAGCCTGGTTACTCTCAAGGTTTTTTCCTTCACTTTTTGGTGAAGTTCTGTTCCTCGCTGTCGCCACTGGCTTGCTTGGTTTTGTAACTGCGCATCGATAGATTTCCTCTCCAGTGTTTGGACTATCAGCAGTGAAAATTAAACCACACTGAACTGAACGGATCTTCAACTCCAAAAAACTGGACTGACGGTTTTAATCTACTAGAACTTCCATGTTAAACTGCTTTGACAATTAAAAAATTAAATTAAAAAGATGAATTGAACGTGATGCTTTACTAAAAAGATAGGTCTTTAAAGTGGTTTTTGGATTGAGAGCGCGTCTGAGCATCAGACAATATCAGGAGGGCTATTTCAAAGTTTAGAAGCCACATACAAGAGGGCTCGACCTTCTTTAGTGGAGTTTGCTATTCTGGGTCATACCAGAAGTTCTGAGTTATAAGATCTTAAAGAGCGACTTGGAATGTAGCGAGACAGAAGATTGGATGGATAAAAGGAGTTAGATTACTTAATGCTTTATATTAAATATATAAAATAAGCAATATTTTATGATCAATATGGAACTTAACAAGCAGCCAAAACAATAATTCAAGATAATTGTTTTACTGTTGTGAGCATCTTTTAGCCTCACATTTCTAGTGTATTTATAATATAAACAAAAGACCCATGGAGAATTCTACTTTTAATATAATCATAGTGATAAAACAAAACATTATTCAAAATGATACAGAAAGATCAAGAGAGAAAAAAAAACTTGGACTGGTGAAGTTTAATCAACTTTGAACATGATTAAAAGTCTTAAGCAATATTAAATGAATAAAAGCAAACACAAGGTACATGATTATGTCAATTAAACAAACTGTATAATATTCGTATTAAGTCTACATAAAGGCACTACGGTTATTAACCTCAATCATAGTGTGTGAAGTGGTCAAATAAAAATAATTTTCTCAATATATTACAAGTTAAATATTAATGTAGTGTGTCCCTTCCTTGATCAAACAGACACAAATGTACAGCTTAATATTATTAGGTCTGAATGAAAAAATAAAACAATATATATATTTTATAAGAATTTAGTACATCAACACATATATACAAACACACACCTTAAATCAAATTTTACACATGTGCAATTGTAGGAATGAGGATTACATTTTGCCACTTTCAGTGAACTTCAGGGATTCGTACAGAAGGCGGGCTTCTTTGTCATTTAGGCATTGTAAGTCTTTATCTTCTGTGTGATGGTAGCACAGCAGATGGGACACTTGTCTAGGGACGCTGAACATTTTTGACAGGTGACCAGGTGTCCGCAGGGAATGAAGACGATGCTGATGTCACTGTCCATGCAGACCTTGCAGAGCTTCTCCCTCTGGAGTTTCTCAAGTTCTGTCATTGGGTCATCTGCAGCAGAGAATAAATATATTTAAGAAACAAACAAAATGATCAAAGTAAAATATAAAAATAATAATGACAACAACAATTATACTAATAATTAGTGATGGCAAACATTAATCGCATTCAAAAAAAAGTGCCTTGACAATAAATGTGTGCATATTATATTTGTTATGTATATGTGATACACATATACATACAAACAAAACAATTGTTAAATAGATATTTCTATATAATTTGTATCATAATAAAAATATTAATAGGCATTTACCCAAATATATGCATACATGGAGTATATATTCATTCATTTTGATTTGGCTTAGCCACTTTATTCATCAGGGGTCACCACAGCTGAATGAACCGCCAACTTATCCAGCTTACGTTTTACATAGTGGATGCCCTTCCAGTACTGGAAAACATTCAAACACACTCATTCACAAGCATACGCTGTGGCCAATTTAGCTTATTCAATTCACCTATAGTGCATGTCTTTGGACTTTGGGGAAAACCGGATATGCCACTATGCTGACACAATCCCAGTTGAATTTAATGTGACTAACCAAAATGGCATTACAATGATGAAAGCCTAAAAGGGGCAGTTTCAAAGAGTCATAAAACATTACTTATGAGAAATTTTGAGCTGAAACATCACATGCAAACTGTAGAGACATCAAATACTTAGTTTAGATCTTGTAAAAAGGGGCATTATATGTCCCTTTAAGACTTTTACAATCTTTTTAAAACAATTATGAATTATATTTCAGATTTGTACAGGACAGAACGCTAAGGATTTTTTTCTACCATTTCGAATGGGCTAGTCAGTGGAAAAGATTTTTGTTTGCCTCATTAAAAATGTTCTAATTGTTTATTTTTTTTAGCCCCAGATTTTAAACAATGTGCTAAAACAATCAAACTTTAGTTATATACAGTACATACCGTACACTTACAATTTATTTTAAAGCTTTAAAAACTATAATAAACTAAATGTATGCAGAACAGTCTGTAGAGGTCAGTGTCCTCACCATATATGGTCTATGTTCCATATATCGAGAGAACTTTTAAACAAATGGTTTTTGCAAGGAAGATAAGTAAACCATATTGGTAAACAGAGTTATAAATATAGATTTGTTAAAATTAGTTTATGTGAAATAATACTGAAATTCACTTGGGCCCTTTGTACACATGGAAGACTTAAAGTCTGAAAAGAAAGACTTAAAGAAGAAAAAGTCTGTAGAAATCTACAGAAAAGAAGCACTTGCCGGCTTTCTCAAACATGTCACTGGAGCCGTGAATTAATGCCTGGGCTGAAGAACCGCTCTCATGACTTGAAAAGCCATTCTGAGTTGGCCTCTGTAAGAGGAAAAAACAAATATTTACATGAGATAATATATATGAAAAAATCACAATATTTATTAATGGAATAAAAATGAATTTGTAAAGAGCTATGAATTCTCGGTTACACTTTATTTTAAAGGCTCCTTAGTACTATACACTAAATGCACTCATGTTTAGGGTTATGATGAAGGTATGATGCATGTATCTTGGTATATTAACTAATAAAAATTCTGTTATTTCTACAATTAAGTAAATGGAACAAGGAGATGGAACATAATGTGTTACCGAATTCTCTTTAGTTAGGAGAGTACAAGTGTTGGTGTAGGTAAGGACTCACTTTTGGATATCTCAGTTGAACACTGCTGACATATTCTTCTCCTTTTTCTGCCAGAAGGAAACTGCAACTGGAGTTCAATGACAATAATTTCAGAATTAGTAATCAGACTGTTTTTGGACTTCAGGACTTTAGATCTAGATCTAATATATACAATAAACTATACATTTACCTAAAATGCATTCAATTTATTTTATCGACTATAAAATAGTAATGATTTTTCCATTTTATTCATTCAGCCATAAGAATAATTTTTATCATCAGACAGAATTTGTATTATAATCCAATCCTAATTGTGTTGTTGTTTTGGAGCATTTAAATGTTTTTACAGTAATCAAAAGAACACATTGGACAGCAAGTTCATTAAAATCTAGCCATTTATTAATGTATTTACTTACTTAAAAACAAACATCTTTTCGAAACTCTTTTTTTTGGGTCAGCTATTTTATTACAAGCAAATGTCTTAAAAATATGAGAAAGTAATTCACCCTGGATAGTGTCTGGCATGTTCCTCCCAAGGGTCTTCATCAGGCATCCATGCCTTTACTCCTCCTCCACATCTGAAGCACATCACACGGTCTTGTTCACCTGTAAGACCAAACAGCAGGACAGGTTGTTCAGCATTTTCCAAAACAGTGCTGCTTGACATATATTTCTATAGCAAATATACATTTTATATCAAAACACTGAAATAAAGTCGGTAGGAACTTTTCACTTTAACACTTCTGGCTCCACTGTTGTAGAGTAAAATTGTTTTTCTAAATGTATTTTTAATTAAATGGTTAAAATTAAATCTGTGGTTTATAGAAGCTCAAGATAATTGCAACTACAAGGTTATATCATATTTTATGCTCCTAAGTAGGTTAAGATCGTAATCTTGAGGCAAAATTACTATAAAAGATGCTACAAAATTTAAGGCATAAAATTATGGTAATATATTGATATAAATGAGATGAAAAATTAGAATCTAAACTGCAAGATAAAATACTCAGTCATCAAAAATGTATGTTGCCATTATGAATTTTTCCCTTAGGATTGCGAGTTTATATATCTGGCAATTTTTTATTCAGTATTTTGAGCTATGTTTTGCTGGTCTGTAAATTTATAATATCTAAAAAATAAATGCATGAAAATAAATTGTGGGAACAAAGCATAAATTCTAAGTTTATATTTCATTTCTGAGAGGAAAAAAAAAACATGCAAGAAAAGATAATAAAAACTAGGGTTGGGCGATGTCGACCAATTTGGCATCGTACAATGTCTAATGTGAAACATTGCAATGAACGATAGCATTGTCGTCGTAGACAGCAGTAACTTAATTATTTATTAAAAATTCGTAACAAATTCATTATTAATACTTCATAACAAATCAATTATTTGTAGCCTACCGTTTCAACAACCTGACCCGCATGGTCTTTGTTTTACCCATAACCAACATACATTTACATTTCTCAACATACATTTAAATAAAGATAAGTTACACACAAATTGCCATCCGTCAATCACTTTTTTCTTTGGACTTTGGCATGAATAGGCAGAGTGATCTGTGGTTATAATGGGGTCGACAAATTTAAAATCAAAAAGGTGTACAGCTAACAGAAACCAACCACCAGTATCTGAGGTTTTCCCTAAAATTACTAAGTATAAGCGTGAAAGCAAAAGATTTAAGCAGTGTACTGACGCTGTGACATTACCTGATAGATTCAAAAGACCAAAGAGTCGTTAGAAAGAGACAAAATTAATTAAATATCATGTTCAACAACTATAGTGAGACGCGATCCAGTAGTACATCCTTTATATAGTGCCCAATGTGCACTGCTCTCTGGGGTTTTATGCTCAGAGCCTCCTCTGACTGTGTGGAAGTGGATATTTTTGGTCTAAAATCGCCATTTTAAAACTAAGACATATTAGTGTAAACGGGGCAGTGTATATTTTTTGCAAGCGGGTTTCTGTTGCGATGGGGGCGGGGTAGAGAATAGCGATGCTGGCTTAGCACCGAGATGTCTATTGGCCGTCGGCGACGTATGATGGCATTGTCTATCGACCCAACCCTAATAAAACACAACTTTTACATTTTAATAATTTTATTAAAATGCGATTAAAAACAGGCTTAAATTAAAACATTTATTTATTTATTTATTTATGCTGTGAAAACTGGCAACAAACAGCTAACAAGTCCAAGTACAGAGATGGTCAGAGATTAAACATGGTCACATGAAAGGCTTTTTTGAGCCAATTATGTAACTTGATTTTGCTATTTGATGGAAAACCATTTAACTTGATAGGACAAAAGACACTACAACCATAAAAAAGTGCCTTAAGTCAGTATTTTGGCTTCATTCATTTATTCATTTTCTTTTTGGCTTAGTCCGTTTATTAATCCGGTATTGCCACAGCGGAATGTACCATCAACTGATCCAGCACATGTTTTTATGCAGTGGATGCCCTTCCAGCTGCAACCCATGCCGGAACCCAAACCGGAGCACCCGGAGGAAACCCATGCAAACGCAGGGAGAACATACAAACTCCACACACAAACAGCAACTGATCCAGCCGAGGCTCGAACCAGCGACTAGTGACGGGTCGTTCATTTTGATCGAATCTTCAATATGACTCGGGAACTACGAGTCCTCTCAGGGAGTTATTCGTTCATCCGTGCGTGCGCACATTTGTGCAGGTAGTATCGTTAATTTCAAGTCTTCATCACATTGGCAGAAGCCAATTATATGCGTTTAGAGCCGGAAAAAGAATTAATCCGCTCACCTCTCCAGTCCTCTATCGGGTCTGATTCACTCGTTCCTCACGGGCCAATCATAAGCGTTTAGTGCCGGAAAAAGAATTGAACCGTTCATCTCTCAAGTCCTCGGGTTTGAGTCATTCTATCACGTGATGAACGAACGATCATGGCTCCTATCGGCTTAGACTGTGAATTGATTAACATTATATGTGACTGTCAGTGTAAGACATGAAGAGGTGAGCTGAGCAAAGAGACAAAAATGCCTCCTTAGACAAAAGAGCAGGTAAATATTGAATTATTATTTTCTCCTTCTTATATTCTATTTATGACTTATTTGTCGTGCAATCAACCTTTTGGGCTAGTTGTAGATGTGTTTGGAGGCAATTCGTAACATTTTAATAATATTTTGGCAAACTGAACCAAATGAACGAAATGACTCGAAAAAAGATTTGTTCATCTTCATGAATGAGACTCAAAGATCTGAGTCAGTAAAATGATCTGAACTTCCCTTCACTACCAGCGACTTTCTTGCTGGTAGGTGACAACACTACTTACTGTGCCACTGCGTCGACCCTATTTTGGCTTCAAAATTTAAAACTATGTAGGACAACTAAATGTATGTTAATTTTCAGAATAATCCAAATTCTATTGACCTTTTTAATCAATATCATTCATATCCAGGTTGGCCTACAAAAATTCATCATTACCTCAGTGCTCTATTGTCCACCAACATAATGCAATAAAAATACAACTAACATAGAAAAAAACTCCTCCAAGGAAAACAAAAGTTACCTGTGCTGTAGAAACCAGCTCTGGCCAATCTCTCAGGGTCAATGGGATGCTGTCTGCCTTTGAAGCTATCAAGACGCCCCTCAAAAGTGTCTGTAGGGTGGACATTAGCCCTTGGCCTAGGTGTTGTCAGGGGGACGTTGCCCACATTGTGGCCCAAGAAGAAGAAGCAGTTTGAGTAGTACTTCGCATGTTCACTCCAAGGATCGTCGCCTTGCTCCCATCCACTCAGACCCCCTCCGCAACAGAAGCACTGCACATTGTCGTCTATCCCAATGTAATACATCCCTGCTTCTGCCAGGTCTTCAGGCCGAACTGGAGAGTCTGCTGGCCAGTTGTTGAAAGTACTCAGTCGCGCTTCTTCACTCTTCATGTGCGGTACAACAGGATACATGGACTCGTCCACCACCTCTCCCGTGCGGAGGAGGAACTCTCTATTCTCGGCCTCTTCATCGTAATCAGGACTCTGGATCGAATTAGAGTTTCTCATACCATGAGCACAGCTGAGGAACCTGCAGTCCGGAGATGCCAGTTGATGTCTCTCCAATGGGGTGTCACCTCTGTTCCAGTTCTGCACAGTGGCACTGCAGCTGAAACATTGCACCCTGTCCCCCTCGCCTGTGAAGTAAAAGCCCGCTCGGGCCAGCCGCTGTGCTGAAATGTCTTCAGAATATGGAAAACGTTGAAAAGAGTTCACCCGATTCTTCATGACTGACCAATCAGCTGCCACATTGTCAGATTCCAATTCGCCATTATGAGTTGAGTGTGCCATATTTGTAGTAACTAAATTTCTGTCAAAAAAAACGAGAAGAAAATAATAATTAAAATAGGACAAATAAATAAGTAAAAAAATCTGTCAAAAACAGATATAAATAAATGCATTCATTAAAAAATAAATAAATAAAAATAACATAGTACAACCAGCAGTATTGTGAAATTTTATAACTGGGGTGGGAATCTTTAGGGACTTCACGATCCGATCCGAGGATCACGATATGATTCCAAAATCATTTTTAACCTACATTTTTCCCATTTCTTCTGCTGTACATTTTTATCCTTACAACTTTACATTGGAACCAAAATAAGAGTCTCTATGCTTCTGTTCATCATTGGAATCTCTGTAAGATAGTACTGCCATCATTAAAAATTAAAAAAAAAAAAAAAAAAAAAAAAAAAATATATATATATATATATATATATATATATATATATATATATATATATTTGTTTTCAACTCTGGATTAATTAGCTTTGAATGTAAAGTGGCACATTACAAAGAGCAATTATGAAGAACAAACTTTCATATAAAAATACCAAAATGGGAAAGATTTTTATTTGTTTATAACTTTAACAAATTGTTAAACAAAGAATATGTGTATGGCTTTTTTTTAATCGATTCTGAACATTTAAGAATTGATTTAGAATCTTAAGACAAAAAAAGTCAGATCTTATGTAATAATTTTAACTTTCTAATATAATTTTGTAACATTTCAATGTCTTTGATAAAGTTTTTTGTCTTAACCTTTTAAATGACAATGTAGTACTGCATGTTTCACAGTTTTCACAAAAAAACTTTTAGTAAAACTTGTTAAAATACTTTTACATTTTTGTTGATTATTAGAAATAAATTAGCACATTAGAATAGTTTCTAAAGAGAAAAATTATAATTATAAATTACGTTTTGTGCATTTTACACTTCATAATATTAAGTGCTTTGGATTATATATACAATATACTTTATCTACTTCAGAAATCTACACATATTTTGTTGGTTGAGTATTGACTGATAGACTTTCAGAGTGAAAAAGACAAAATATGTGGTTGCTTAAGTCAATAACTCAGGCAAGACTGAGCAAAAGTATTGATCTTTACAAAGAAGTTTTCAAAATAATCGCCTTAATCAGATACACCAGTGACGTCACATGCCATTTGTGACAACTGTACGATATCAAATTGAGTCACTGGGAACGGCGTGAACATTAAGGGCTGAACAGAATGTTCCAAACTTTGCGGAAGTGCCTTTGTGCTGCTTATACATTGTTTGCACATTATTCATATCCACCAGTACTTCACTGACACATGATACTGAATGAATTCCTACAGCTGCAGCTGACCTGAAGCAATCTTAAAAACTTGTGTCAAAAGATAAGATTATTTTAGACATTTTAAAATATAAAGAATCAAGGGGAATTTTTAAGGTTGCTGTCACTTTAAGAGTCAGAGGCGTTGTCAGTCACATGTGAACAGCGCCTCCAGCATGTGTAGGAGACTCAAATATAACATCCTCCCTGTTCTCAAAGAGAATTTCAGAAATGCTTGCACAGGCCACTCTACACTGACATGTACATTACCCAATCATCCTTACATCATATAACTGTACATAATGAACATGATGATTCAAAGGTCTAAATTCACATTTATTAAAACAAGTGGAATGACTTAAAGACTTATATCATCAATTGCTGACATGGGCATGACAATTAGTAACATTATCTCACCTCATTGTGTGTCATAATAACAAGCTACTCCCATAAAGGAAAATATGGCAGTTTATTAAACAATTCCCAGAAACTTTTTTTTTTTAACTATTATTGTTATTATTATAGTAATGACCAAGGATGCTCTGATCTAATCACATTTTATGATACAATTAGTCCTGACTAATCTGGCCGACCACATAAACTGATAGCAAGTGTTCTTTTACGAGTTTACAAGCAGAGGAAGATCCATTTTAACTTCATGTGCATCAAATATGCTCTCAAAACTTTTTCTTTATTGAAACATGTTGAATTACTCTTTCATCATTTGCAATGTTTCCAAATTGCTTTGTTTGTCATTTTTCAGGTCCACACTAAATTGTTAAAAGAGACATGTTTAAGGGATTATATGCAACATCCTTCACATATTCTCTTAGCCAAGGAGAGATTTCCACTTAAGTATCATACTTAGAAGGAAAATGTGCTTTATGCAATGTTAAAGTTAAATAAAGCTTGAAGCATCAGAATTGGTAATCAATATTGACCGATAACCATGATGAGGAATCTGTACACGGTATCGGCTCCAAAAATCCTGAACGGAGCATCTCTAGTGATGACCGTCAGTAAATAACACCAAAATAAGTACTGGAATCATTTATGTGTACATCTAATGTGGAAGATTGGAAGATATAAACAGTGAGGCAAATGTATATGATATACATTCAATATACAATATAATCTTTGGTAGCTTAAATGCTAGGTACTAGCTTACAGTAAAGACATTCTTGTTTTATTGTGTAAAATAATTACGTTTCTGAAAAATCAAAACATTGACATATGCCATTTAAATATTATAAATACAATTCATTCATGTAAAACACATAAATGCAAATACAAACTGCGTGCAAGGTAGTGGTAACTTAGTGACAACTTTAATCTATAATCGATGTACAATAATTATATGTACAACTGTCAGTCACAGGTTGACCAGGTTCCAAAACCCAACTGGACCACCATAAACTAGTATGGCCAGCTTGTCCAGCTGGTCTACCAGATAGAAACTGGTTCGTAAACAGCTTATTTAAACAGGATAAACTTATGAAGCAAGACTTTACCTTACTAATTACAAATATCTGTATGTGCAACCTCATGGCACACGACGGTGAAACAGGGCATACAGTTGTTTCGGTTATGACAGTTAAGGTTAGTGGTCTCAGATCAGATATCTTACACTTTTCTTTTGTTATCAAATTAAAAACAGCACGAAGAAGACAGGCAAAACATTAAAGATGAGAGCAGATCACAGAGCAACTGACCAGCTAACGTTACACTTCGACCTTTACACTGACAACCAGACTGTTAAGGTTAAGTACAAAGCACTAGCGTTAGCATTAGCTAACATTCGTGCTACAATCAACATCAATGTCTGCTTACCTTCGGTCAGGAAACACGATATCCAGTGCAGTTCTTCAAAAAAGGAAAGCTGTACTTTATTCTGTTCTTGGTCGAAGGCAAGTAACGATTACAAGACAGCGCAGCGCAGAGGGATGGATGCGTAAATGGTGACAACCCAAACAGGAATTTACTGTGGTGAGTGTTAGCAACGTGACGTTCGTGCTATCCCATTAACGTTAACTGGCAGAGCCACAGAGAGACGATTGGGGGCTCTGCACTAGGATTTCCAAGCAACGTCAAATCGACACTACCTTTTTCAGTAGAAGGATTAAATTAATAAACAAAAATAAAAACAACTATAGTAAATTTAAATGAAATGTTTAACGTTACGGAAGTAGAGTATGAGACGTCACAATTCACCCAAGTGGGCAGTGGTGGGAAATTTGGCAAGACGCCTTCTGTCAAAAGGGACTTTTGTATCGTTTTACCAGAAAACCAACCACATCATTTTCATTTCATTTTTTTTTTTCATTACGTTTGGAAAATACCATACGTTACTTTATACAGTTAACAAAGACAGGTTATACAGTGGTGGTTTTTCAGTACACAAAAACAAGTAGGCCTGAGTAAATAAGATACCATATCAGCAGATACGCTAATACTTAAAAGTATTTACATGTAAGCTTTTATACAACGGAAATTTACAAAAAAGAGGAACAAAAGTCATTAAAATTGCAGTAGAACAATATGCAATATTTTATCAAAATATGAGGAATATTATGAATGACACATTTCTAGTTATTTATTCTAATGCAATGCACAAATTTAATAGGACAGTACGTTGGAAGATATTTTATTTTACATAAATTTTTCTTCCAAATATGCCATAATCATGACTTGTGTTTGCAATCATAAACATACAACATAAAATATACATTAAGAAAAATCTATTTTACCAATAAGGAGACAAATATCTAATGTTGTACATTAGCAGCTTTAATTATCTTATATTTTATTTTGCAAATGTATTATTTTAATGTTTTGATGAGCTTTTTATATACATAAAATCTACTAAATTCAGATGGTTGTACACAAACATGGAATTTCATATACTGTAGACGTAAACAGCTCCTCATTTTACAGCAGATTTACATCAGAAACCACTAATAGCCAAAATTTAATTTACAATAATAAATACCAAAATTTAATGTATTTTGCAGTTTCTGCATACTGTCTTTTTACAGTTTATACTTTAAAGGATGATCTTTTGTTCTTTATGTTGTGTTCTCTTACCCGTTTTGCTGTGTTCCTGTTTTTTATTGACTTACATAGTTACTGGTTTGGTTTTCTAAGTTGCTGATTAAATTAGATTATCACCTAGCTTCCATTGCTTGCTCTGTGTATTTAAGACATGGCAATGCAGATGAAGAGCTTAAAATCTGCATTAAAAAGGTTATCACCATACTTCGCCTGTTGATTGACTACATTAAGATTTGCATTTTTAAAAATTAGAATTTTATGTTTTTAAAAAAAAAAAAACAATTAAATTTAATTAGAGGTCATGTTAAAGCAAAAAAGTTTAAACACATCTCTATGTAAAAACCTTCAGAGTAAATATGAATAAATCTGATCTTTTACTGTAAGTTCTGCTGAAGTGGCAAAAAGTATAGCTCAGCAAGGGAGAGAAGAAAAATACTCCATTTGAGGAAACTGCCTTAAAAATATGTTTTAAATCTACATATACGATTTTTGTTTGTTTGTTTTGATTTCTCTTGTGTTCCTGATTTTTTGACTAAATACTGCATTTGTTATTTTCCTATTATTGTGTTGCTTCACAATGTGAAGCAACATAATGAAGATGTAAAAGTTTCACAAAATGAAAATACTTGAATAACAAACAAATACATGCAAATAACACATTAAAAATAAGATGAAATACTCAATTACAATCCACCATGTTATTTATATGTGGTACTATAATATGTTTACTGACGTCAGGCATGTAAGATTAGGACATAAAACCACATTCTTGTCAAAGCTATTTAGATTTCAGTTTCGTTGGGAACGCAGATCCAACCATTTCATTCTTCGAATATATATCATACCCAGTACACACTGTACACTGTCAAAAATGTGTGGCCCAAAAAAAAGAGCAGGATAACACGCCATGTCAAAAAGCGTAAATCATCTCAGACTGGCTTCTTGAACATGACAGTGAGTTCACTGTACTCAAATGGCCGTCACAGTGACCAGATCTCAATCCAATAGAGCACCTTTGGGATGTGGTGGAACGGGAGATTCGCATCATGGATGTGCAGCCGACAAATCTGCAGCAACTGTGTGATGGTATCATGTTAAAATCGACCAAAATCACTAACAAATTTTCCAGTACCTTGTTGAATTTATGTCACAAAGTATTAAGGCAGGTCTGAAGGCAAAAGAGGGTCCAACATGATAGTGGTAAGGTGTACCTAATAAAGTGGCCGGTGAGTATATAGTGGGGCATTTACACAGTGTGTGAATTCTAGCTGTACAGAGATAAATATTATCTATACTTATAGAGAAGGTACTGAAATATGCATTCCCCAGTCATGTGGGATCTGAGTTATGTATGTAAAAGTTCAGTTGCATAATATTGCAGTGTGACAATGCATTTTACATGTTTAATAAGATAGTTCACCCAAAATTGAAAATTTTATTTATTTACCCACACAAGTGATTCTAAACATGATGAATTTCTTACTTCTGTTGAACACAAAACAAGATAATCTGATGTTGAAAAAAAAACACCATTGACTTCCATATTACTAGCCTACAGTATATACTTCAATTGTAAAATAGGCACAATAATACTGAAGTCCTATGTATCAATACTACCGCTATACTATGGAGTCAATAGCTCATTTTTTCCCTGACATTCATCAGTATATGTTCTTCCTTTAAGTTCAACAAAAGAAAGAAACTCAAGGGAGGATGAGTAAATGAAGACAGACGTTTCATTTTTCTGGTGAACTTGCTATAGGATGTTTCTGCATGGTACTTTTGAACTGACAAAACCAGTTATTAGTAGAAGCTGCCATAAAAATGATTGGAATTTGATTCTTGAGCAAAAATTTTAAAAAGAAGCTTAATCAATGAAATTTTATTTATCAATGAAAAATACACATAGTTCATGCTGATGGAACCTGTGAGGGTGAAACTGATATCTGCAGTTATAGCTTGAGGGACTTTTGTATTCATGAAAGGGATTTTCTTGTGTTTGAGAGTGTTCAGGTATGGAATATCACCACGGAATCGTGCCAAGCAGATTTGCATTTGGGGAAGTTACTGACCACTACTGTTTTTGAAGGGTTATGCTTTCGCTGACAGAATGGAATCTGGAACTGGCACCCACAACACATGCCTTTATAAGGGTTTTCTGAATGTATGTGGTCAGCAGTTGCTTTATGATGATCTAATGAATATTATTTTACAGAACTGATGTAGGAGGAAGTCTACCTGAATCCACTCATTAAGATTTTTTTTTTTATGAAAAGGAGAACTAGAACTTGTAAAAGCCACATGCCGAGTGTTAAAGCAAAAACTGAATGACTGACGGTAAAAGTGTATCTCACAATTCTCTACACTACCATTCACAATCCATTAACAATTCACATTATCATTACAAAGACTGCATTTTTTTTTTAATCAAAATATTGAAAAAACAGAAAAACTGCTACAAAATATATTGGAAGTAAACTGTTAAGCTAAATTTTTAGTTATTACAGCATCATGTCTTTAATAAAAGCTGAATATTGTATTTAAAAGAATAGACAGACAGACAGACAGACAGACAGATAGACAGATAGATAGAATAGACAGACAGTCGAATGACACCTCATACATGCACACCGGAGTTATGGTTGGTCTCCAAAGAAATCCAAATATGCAAAAAATAAATTAAATAAAACAAATAAACTTTTAAATATATATATATATATATATATATATATATATATATATATATATATATATATATATATATATATATATATATATATATATATATAATTAGTTTTCAAATTAAGTTATGTGTATTAAAATGAAATGAAACAGGGAAAACTATTGAACACATGAAGAAAGGGAAGTGTAGAAAGGCAGTGAAAGCCCAGAAATCTATTAGTGGTTATTCAGCAACCCTCTGCATTTCCTCATTGTAAATTACTATTAGGTGCTTCAGTCCAACATCTGATGTCTGTGAAAAACTCACACCTGAACAATGCATGTGACTTCATTCTCCAAAATAGACATCTTTAAGCTGTCATCACCAAAAAGTATTGAATACGTTTCATTAGTTCTGTTCTTTCTCCTTGTGTTATTCTATTGTAAATACACATACTTTTTTTTTTTTTTTTACAGATTTTTGTTTTGTTTTATTTGTAATGTTTGGATTTTTACAAAAATCTGGTTTAATTCCATGTCAACAGCTCCTTTAGAAAAATTATTCCTAGGAAAAAAAAACATGACATGTTCAACGCTTATTTTCACCGCTGTACATGAATAAAAAGTGAATATTTGCAAGATATCAGACCTTTATAGAATAAACAAACATATTTTCCATAATCAGATAAAATAATACAACAATCAACTGTATTTAATTACAATTTATTTTCATTATTAAAAAACAAGCATCAAGATGGAAAACAGTTTTGTTGTGATCTTTTCAGAGTGATACAAAATTAGAAATAACTTTTTACATTTACACTAACAAAGACAAACCAAGCTGTAGATTTAACAGAAATAAAGCATCTATGGTAGAAAAAAACACATAATATTCAGAATGTTATTTTTAAGCCTTAAACTCCGACAAGCATTCATTATTGACCAGCAGCTTATAAAAACAGCTTTAAGTGCATTCCTAAATTTCTGGTCAGGGTTCATCAACCCTCCACTATGCGTTTCAACACAGAGCCCAGCCCACCTTTAGCCACCTGCAGAGGAGTCATCTTTTCCTTGTTTTCAATGTAGATGCTGGCACCATGCTCCACCAGGAGTTTTGCAGCCTCTGCTCGCTCCTCGTCACATGCAAGATGACTGGAAATAAAATAAAACAATAATCAAATTTTATATATAACATTTTCTTCAGTTGAATACAAAAGAAGATATTTTTAAGAACGTTTGTAGAATGCCACGCGGTTTTGAAGAATGTTGGTAAAAACACAATTTCCATGCTGATTTTCAATTGCAACGGTTATAACGGTTTTGTTACTAACATCATAACACTTTATAAAAACTACACACTATGAACCATTTATTGAGCATTAGCAAATAATGAATTGATTATTTGTTAATCATGAACTCTACATTAATAAACATTAGTAAGCAGTTTATAACTGCAAATACAAATGCTGTATTCTTAACTTATAAGCACATGTAAAATGTGCTTCATGATTGTGTTTTCGAACTTTGTTAATGGTTATTTTTTTATGACTAAATTAAGTATTGCATCTTTTACAAACTATTTCAATTTAAGAGTAACTGGAGGTTTTTAGAATCATTAGTTAGTAAATGATTAATAAACTATTCAAATAAGCATTTATGTATTTTATTAATCTGGCATATACTAATAGTTACTATTGTATGTATGTATGTTAATAAATGCTTTATTAACTCAACTTGATCTAGTTTTGTGACCTAATCTAAAGTGAGGACTATTTATGCTTTCCCTAATAAATGACGATTAAAGGCTTGGTATCAACTGAACAATAAATGTTTGCAATCTTATCTAAAAAATAAAATTACTGTAATCTTTAAACATTGTCGATTAACAGGAGTGTCAAAATACAATTAAAAAGAAATTCAATTAAATAAAGTTGGATAAAACAAAAAACAATATAACATGGTATGTGTAATATGTTTATTAACATATTACACACAATAATATAACATAGAGATGCAACATTTCAATGTCATTTAGGGATGTCTAAACTGTACAGTAATTCTATTTTAGTTAAGATTGCAAAAAATTATATTTTTCATTTAATACAACTTCATTTGTTTATTTTCTTTTTTCCTGTCAACAATATAACTATAAGTCTTTAATTGTCATTTATAAGGGATTTATAAAGCATAAACAGGCCTCACTTTAGGCCAAAAAACTGCATGAAGTTCAGTTAATAAAGCATTTTTACCATTCAAATCAACTATTAGTATATGCTTGAATAATAAGATATATAAATGCTCATTTTAATAGTTTATTAATCATTTACTTAAGCATTCTGAATGATCTTAAAACAGCACCAACTATTCTTAAACTAGTTTGTAAATAATGTCAAACTTAAGTAATGGAAGCATAATTATTAACAAAGTATAAAAATATAGAATCATTAAGCACATTGTACAAGTGCTTATGTGTCAATAATACAGCATTTGTAGCTGTATTTTTATAACTACTTATTAACGTCTATTAATGTAAAGTTAATACTTAACAGATAATGAATTCACGGTTTACTAATGCTTAACAAATGTTTGTAGTGTGTAGTTATTATAAATTTAGAAACTTACTAGGTTAATCAGGTTAACTAGGCAAGCCAACTTAAAAACAATAAAAAAAATCTTAATGAGGTTAACAATAGTGTTTAAAAATAATGAAAATTATTTTTGTATGGCACAATGCCATATATATATATATATATGGCATTGTGACATGAAACCACATTATGTTTCAGTTTCATGGTACCTATTCTGTTTCAGCCCAGCAACCAAGAGACCTCCAATTCTTACAACACTTGTATGTGGTAAGGAATGTGTTTGGGAGTTTCTATAGGTTTGTAGCAAATATGTAGGCAATAATAGGCATGTAAAAATACACAAAACAGACAGTAGATATAACCAAGCGCAGACAACAAGCAGCACTATTAGACGGTGGTTCTTTACAAACTTACAGTGGTGTGTTTCCTTCGGAGTCTTGAATGTTGGTAGAAGCGCTCTCTTTCAACAGAAGCTGAATGAGGCGGTAGTTGCCCTTAGCAGATGCTCTGTGCAGTGGTGTGGACTGCAGTTTATCTGTTGCATTAGGATCTGCGCCATTTTCCAGCAAAATCTGGGCTATCTTAAAAACAATGATAAGAACACTTTAAATGAACAGGTTTTTAATTGCATATCTAAATAAATAAATAAAAATATACACATTTTTATCAGTAAAAGAAAATCACTAAGGATTTGAACTAAGTTTTTATGATTACAATGAAAGTGAATGTAGCAATGACTACTTTAATAAGAGGGGACAAATGAGTGTTTTATTGTAAAAAAATCTAGCTTCATTTTAATTAAATTTTGCCTTAAATAATAATGCCAATATTTACTGAATAAAACTCTGTGTAATGTGATTTAATAATGGCCATTCTATCTATATTAAAATTAAGCTGGGTGAAAATCAATTTACGTTTTGTTTACTGTATATATTTATTATGTATATATAAATACACACATGCCAGGATATACCAGAGAAAATGTTTATTTATATTATAAAAATTGTATATAAATTAAAATATCTAACAAACAAAATTGTTTAGTATGGTTTTTCCAAGTATGTGTGCATCACATATTTATAATAAATACATAACACAAACACATTTAACACAACAAATATATATATATATAAAATCCAAAAACAAACTTTTTATATTGGATGCAACTAATCATTGCCCAGAACTGATAAAAAAAAATGATGCTTTATACATAAAATCAAGGGGTTTATAAAAAAGGGGTTAATCTTGCTTATTTATATATTGAAAGGGGAATTTCTCCTGAGCTGATGCATTCAACATCTTATGTCATTTCTATTATGAAAACAATTATTTTCTTTAATAATACACCTCATATAATTTATTTTGATTGCACAACCCTTTATTCCATTCACAATTAATCATCAGATGCTGTTTTTCTAAATGCTTTATCTGCCTAATCACTGCCCTGCTTCAGACACATGACCTGCTTATTTTGATCCATCTGTGTCTAACATACAGTACAACAGAGTGAAAGAAACAGAGAGAAAATAACAATCTAATGTCAAGTAGTTAAGTCTGTGTAACCCTCTGATTGAAACATAGACGCTACCTCGTATAGGTTTTTAGATGCTGCATAGTGTAACGGCGTACAACCATTCTGGTTAACAGAGTTCAGCTGAGCTCCTTTGGATATTAGAGATCTGACGATTTCTTCTCTCCCAGCAGATGCTGCTATATGAAGAGGAGTCCAACAAGCCTGAAATCACATAAAAAAGGTAAAGATCTCCACCAAGAGGATATGAAGTGCATAACAATGGTGTCTGCTCTGCTTGTGTCTACACATTTAGACACACAATACTGTTGTCATTTATGAACTACATACTTTTGTATGCATTTGAAACAAAATAAATACTTAGCAACACGTCTGATTAAATAAAATAACGTTTAGTGATGCAGTAGAAGGCTTTAGGATTGAATTCTGACACAATGCTGACTCACATCATCTTTAAGATCCACTTCTACTCCAAGGTCCAACAGAAACTGCGCGATATTCACGTGTCCAGCTGAACAAGCCCAGTGCAGAGCTGTCCTGCTGTCCTGTACAAAACGAAAACATGCAAAGCACTTTCACACACCTCTGAGCAATCTTTAATAAATGGAAAGACTCCATCATAGCAACATGCTAACCAGCACACATGTGCAGCAACTGCTTACACTTACCTGGTCTGTTTTCGCCGCTAGTGAATTGTCAGACAAAACGCATTTCTTTAATTCTTCAAACTTTCCGCCGTAAGCTAAATTACAGACTTCAACGTTTGAAACTCTCGCCTCCATCTCACAATTCTTTGGTGAGCAGCACCAGTATGACAATTCAATCTAGATAGCCCCGCCCAAAACAGGCAAGCAGCAATCTCATTGGATAAAACAGTTGACTTAGGTGCCGCTAAACAGTGCCTGAATAGTTATATAAAATGCCAGAAAGTACCTAAAATAAAGGTGTATAAAAACACCTAAAAATCGGGAAATCTATTCAGTTTAGTTGACTTGCTTTAGTTTTCTGATAGATATGAGTTTCTGATAGCCCCCAAAAAAAACTAAACTTAAAAAAATAACATTTAATGTTTTTTTTTTTTTTTTTTACATTTAATGATAATAATTTAATATAATTTCTGAAACATACAGCAGATGACTGAAAAGTCTTAAAATTTAGATTTAATTTTTTACTTTCAGCTTCACAGATCATGCAGAGTTAAAATACTGTCGCCAACACTTTAAACAATAAATACTATAATACTAAAACCCATAGAAACTATTGTAAAAATATGTTGGAGTTATCTTCAGTGACTAGCGTAGAAACTTACATTATCTGGGTTGGTGTTGTATTACGGTACAAGTAAACAAAACAATATAAAGAATATAGTAAACGAATACAATCCTTCATCACAGGATATGGTACACTAAACAATATCTGTTAACAGTTTTCCGCATTTTATGATTTATAAGTGTTTTCCGTTTATTATTCACGCTAGTGAATTCCATTATAGGACCTTAATCTGTACTCTGTCGACTTTTGATGTTCAACAAACTGACTTTTCCTGACATTTTAGTAATTTGAAATAATGTACAATGTATAAGAAATAATATTTAGAGACATAATGTGTCCGTTTATTACAAGGTTTTTGCAACAACGCCAACTACAAAAAAGACGGAACTTAAGAAAACGGTGCAGTTTCCAGTGGGAACAAAATATCGTGGACACACATTTGAGCACATTATTGACGGATGCTGGATTTGTTTTTAAAGGGTGAGATAGTACGAGTCTATTATTGCTACATAAATTATAATTTCATTCAATGTGTATATAAATTATAATTTACTGTTTTATTATTAAATACAGTTATTTTAAGTCGCACCATTGGTTTCATTTGGCTCCTAACGTTAACGTTACATTCGTCCGTTTTTTCACTCCATGTTTTTTAGTTTACATATCAAGCACAAAGACAAACAACAGACGGAAGACCAGTCATGTCTTTAACGGTGGTAAGTCTCTTCATTGGCACAATTATTTTTTTCTCATAAAAACGTGCGTTATATCATTAGATTATATTATATAATAGCCATCTATTTGCTATTGATCAGGATTTCAGGACTCAAGTTGACCAGTCGTGCAGATATTCAGAGGAGTTCATCAATATCTATTACGAGTGCATGGATAAGAAAAGACGGGTAACGTTAAGCTCATCGTATGGTTTAATTTAACCGTCAATAGCCTATATGCTTATCTTTTATGTAAAGTATCTTGACATTTAGAGCGTTTAAAGTGAATGGTTGATTACAGAATTTGAAGAGGCTGTATCTGGACAAAGCAACGCTGGTGTGGAATGGAAACGCAGTCACTGGTCAAGAAGCTCTCGGTGAATTCTTCGAGTCTCTTCCATCCAGTGAGTTTCAAGTGCAAACTCTTGACTGCCAGCCTGTACACGGTATGTAAAAGTACAAATACAAATACCTTTATATATATGACAAAAAGGCAAAATCAAGACTGTGGTTAACTTATTGCTCTTAAAGTGATAGTTCACCCCATTACCCATTGTTTGGGTAGCTTTTTAGAATGATGGTCCTTTAGTTTATGTCAGTTAATTTATTTACTACAAAAGTCTTAAGAGGCCGTGCATTGAAATACTGTTCTTTATATTTAGCTCTTGTTTTGTCGTGGCCATGACTTAATTTTCTTGTGATCTCGACATAAATAATTTTCTTGGGATCTTGACAAAACAAAAAGTTGTTTTCTTGTGATTAAAAAAGAAAGTAATTTTATTTATCTAATAATTGATTTTATTATAATTATTATTATTATTATTATTATTAGGCTATTTGTATCTGCTGAATGTATTATTGGCCTACCGAAAATATTTTAGATGTACACTCCAGCCTTTAAAACAAGATGTTCTACATGTAATTTTATTGTGTTTGATGAAGGTGTAACAACAGTGTTTTTTGTCTACAGTAGCAGATTCTAAATTTGTGCAACACATTAAGGGCATTCAGAACAGCCATCATAATATGAGCGTAATGTACATTTATGATTATATCCACATATAGGACTATCGATGATTATTTACAATAATATTGCAACTCTCTACTAGCTGGGCTTCCAGCTAACTCTATCAAGCCTCTTCCGCTGCTCCAGAACGCAGCAGCACGAATGGTCTTTAATGAACCTAAAAGAGCACGTCACTCCGCTGCTCATCCGTTTGCACTGGCTGCCAGTTGCTGCTCGCATCAAATTCAAAGCTCTGATGTTTGCCTACAAAGCGACTTCTGGCTTTGCTCCTTCTTATCTGCTCTCACTTCTGCAGATCTGTGTGCCCTCCAGAAACTTGCGTTCTGTGAATGAACGTCGCCTCGTGTATCCATCCCAAAGAGGGAAGAAATCACTTTCCCAAACTCTCGCATTCAATCTGCCCAGTTGGTGGAATGAACTCCCTAACTGCATTAGAACAGCAGAGTCACTTGCTGTTTTCAAGAAACGACTAAAAACTCAACTATTTAATCTCCACTTCACTTCCTAATCTGCAATTGCCTCTCTGGATATTACACTAACTGTACTCAAAAAAAAAATACTAATGCTTTCTTTCTTAGACTTTACAGACCTGAAACTTGCCTATAGTACTTATTCATTGTTGCTCTTATAGTTGTGTAAATTGCTTCCTTGTCCTCATTTGTAAGTCGCTTTGGATAAAAGCGTCTGCTAAATGACTAAATGTAAATATTTTAAAGCATAGGTTCAAGGCTCAAAATAAATTGTTACATGTGTGAATTAGATTATGAAAAATTATGAAGATCCTGGTTTTGCTTTAATGCATCTTTTCTGCATGTTATTTACAATTACTTTAAAAAGTGTCTCCCTGTAAATAATGCGATATCAAGCTACTGTATGCGTGTCTAGGATATCCTCTTAGAAAAAGCAGAAAGCATGGCTAGTAAACCTGAGTGGTCAACTTTTTGTTATGTCAGGATAACCAGACAATAGTCGCGATAAGGAGAAACCAACTTTTGATATGGCGATATCACGAAAAAATTAAGTCATGATCTTGAGAAAACAATAAAGAAATGGAATAACCCATGGCCTCTAACTAAGTTTGAAAAGTTTTGTAAAGAAAAACATTTTCTAATGCGTTATTAAAATCCAAAGTTGTGCTTGTTAACATTTGTTAATGCACTGTGATTTTAATTAAATAACATTAAATAAATATGTTATTGTTTGTTCATGTTAGTAGATACATTAACTAATGGACCATTATTTTAAAGTTTTACTGAATGAGTCTAGTAGCCATTGATTTCCATAGTAGGAAAAATATTATGGGTCACATTTATTCAAAATATCTTTTTGTGTTCATCAGAAGAAAGTCAAACATGTTTGAAACATGTGGAGGGTCATTGATGACAGAATTTTAATTTTAGATGAACTTTCCTTTTAAATATTTGGCTTTAAATATTAAAATAAATAAATGTTTCTTTCAACTTTTGTGGTGTGATAGTTATAAAATTAATACTATTCAATAAAATATCAAAGAAACTGGTTTATTTGATGTTTTTTTTTATGATACTACTACTACTGTTAATGTTAAGTAGGTTCATAGGTTCTCACCTGTGATATAACGTTAAAGGAATCGTTCATCCCAAAAATAATGTTTGCTCATCTCTAAACAGGGTGTTAGCAGGGTCTGAAAAAGCCTTAAAATGTCTTTAATTTCAGAAACAAATTTTTAGACCTTTAATGTTAAAAATTAAGTTGTAGGTTGAAAAAATTCTAATTATTATTACAAGCCAATGTAAAGCTACCCAATCGGGCCAACACCCTTCCAATCAACAACAATCCATCTTAATAAAACTTTTAACAAATGTGTCCTTGATTAACTCTATTTACTATATTACCTTCATAACATTTGTTTAGAAGTTCTCCATGTATTTTTGTACCTGTTGTGCATGAATTCATTTTATCAGTTTCAAAAACTTATACTTAAAAAAAAGTGTGTGTGTGTGTGTATATACCTAGAACATTTTTACACATTTAAAACTTTTGGCTAAGAAATATGTAAATGAGTAATGTTTAGTAATTAATTAGCAAATTTATTTGACAAGGTATTAAATTTAGTATGCTAAAGTTTGCCTGAATTTAGTCTTTGAATATTGGGATGCTGTGTAGTTTATAAAATCCAAAAAATCTGTCTGGATTTGACATCACACGGCTTTGTTTACTGCAATGACCAGGGTTATTCCTGCTGTTGTAAAGGCACCACCTGCTGGATTAGCATTTTTATTCAGAATATTTACAATGTTTTAGTTTAGGATTGGTTCCCTACTGTCAGTATTTAGTAATTATACTGCAATTTAAAATGTCAACAATGTTACTGGTTGAAATGTAAATTGGTGACGAGGTCTTAAAATTTAAAAAGGGGTCTTAAATGGTATTAAATTTCAATCTCTGATGCCTGTATTTACCCTGAAAAAGGTTTTTACCTTTGTTTTCTTTCTGTGAAATGAAGAGATATGTAAAAATAATGTTAGAAACCTGCAACCATTGGCTTCCACAATAGGAAGTTCTAATACTATGGAGGTCAGTGGTTACAGATTTCCAAACATTTTTCAAAGTAACTTTTTAAACAGAAGAAAGAAACTCAAACAGGTTTGTGACAAGTGAAGGGTGAATAAAATGTTCAGTTTTGGTTGAACTATCGCTTTAAGTAGAAGCTTCATCATTCAGTGTAAAAAAATATTTTTGAAAGTCCATTATCATCTTTGACCCATTTATATATTTTAAAATGTCCTTCTAATGCTAAAAAGACAAATGATTTCTAATAATTTCTTTTCTCCTTTACACACAGAACAAGCAACTCAAGGCCAGACAACATTGTTAGTGGTTGCAGCGGGCTCTGTGAAGTTTGAGGGAAACAAACAGAGATTCTTTAACCAGAATTTCTTACTAACAGCTCAAGCCTCTCCAAACAGTGACCAGCCAGTATGGAAAATCGCAAGTGACTGTTTTCGGTTTCAAGACTGGGCAAACTGAGCTTCAGCTGGCTTTTTTTTTTTTTTTTTTGTAAACTACTTATTAAAATGTGTTCTGTAAATAATAATAATAAAAAAAGCAATGTTTGTTGAACCAAAAATAAAATGCCACATCATTTGAGTACAAAATGATTTTACTTGTCCTCAGCACATAATACATACAGCAACACACAATAAAAATAATAAATAAGCATCATAGAACATTCTACAAGCAAATTCACAATTTCTCAACGCAAACACTTGACTGCTGTATATTCTTGCTTATGGTGACGGTAACCCTGAGGGTCTTGAGGGGAAAATATCTGCTGAATTGGTTGAATTTGATGGCTGTTAATTTAACAATGGCTAAAAATCCCTGAACACAAATAATAGTGCAAATGACAAAATCATCATAAATAAAACGCACATCCCAGAATGAAACATTTGGTAATCCAAAATGTAAGAAATTACAGTGTTTATACAGATCACACCCCTTTAGAATCAAATAAATTAAACAAGGGTTCAAATGAAATGTAGTTTTGACCAAATAAATTAAAATACAGTATACAATATAAACTGACGGACAAAAGCTCAACCTCACTTGCTTTATATTTATAGAGGGAGAAAAATTCATTTTCTAATGTTTCTTTTTTCAAACAATTACTTTTTTTTCCTGTCTTTTCAACTTCATACACAAAGCATTGCAATCTGACATGTTGACGTATTACCAAATATTATTAAAAGCCTGCAAAAGTGGAATATTCAACAAAAAAAAGCTTGTGACAATCGCTAAACTGAGTGGTTTTTAAAAAAGATCAGACGTGAAGAGATTAGACAGATGTAATACAAACTTTACATCTGTGGCTTAAGAAGGAATTTGTTCATAAAAAAATGTTCCCTTCATTCAATTTCAATCTAACTAACATCTAAAATACTAGCAAACAAACCACCTGCCAGTCATCTGAAACATCCTGAGTCACTCCATGAGTAAGAGTAAGACTGACTAGTAAATGTGTGAATTCCTAAAACTAGAACTCAGAACATTGTAGTCCAGTGAGAAAAACTTGCTTTAAAAAGAAATCTCAAGTAAATAACGACTATTAATGCACTGCATGGGTGAAGCACAGGAATCTACTTCTAACTTATAGTCAGTAGGGAATTAACGTTTAATACAGTGACCAATCAGAAGGCACAGAAACATCACTATATATTAGTTTTGCAGTGCAAAGACTTCACCTCGGCTAGCGGATTCAGTGTACAAATGCTATCAAACAAAGCAAGTGAACGAAAGATTCACACGTATTGAAATGAGCACAGGTGATGGCAGTACATCGCTGTTGTATGGTTGAAGTTCTTTTTACAAGAGTGTGCTAAAAGGAGAAACAACTCATTAAAATCATCCCTTACCCAACAACATCCCCATCTAATCAGCTACAACTTTAATTGTAAACTATTTCACAGCAGAGAGACTACAAAGCCCACAATGCTCAGGAGTAAAAAATGTACACAGATCAACAGCAATTGAGAGCTGTGTGCGTCACTAAGCAGTGGGCGGTGGTGAAAATTGTGGCAAATGTTTGTTTTACATTTATTGATATACAGCAATGTTGCATGGCGAGGAGCTGATGAAGATGTCTTTGGCTGCTGTTATAGAGGTCCTACTTGTGGCCATACATTCTTTCGATGTCGTTGAGATAGTGGTTCTTTAGCTCTTTCCTCTTCAGTTTGAATGCATCTGTCACCAGGCCGGTTTCAGGTGTCCACGGCTCCGGACTCAAATGGACCATAACAGGAATCTCGAAGCGCTGGAGTTTAACTAAGGGATGGAAAGATGGGTCAATCATACGCTTTGTGCTCAGGATATTTTTTGTTTTTGTGATAATAAATATAAACTTTTAGCAATATTATTAGTCTTCAGTTTGACATAATGCTGAAGAAATAATTAGTATATACTAAATTGGTGAAAACAAAAGATTTCTTTAGAATTTTTTTTTTTTGTGATTATAAGAAACATTTTCTGGATTAGTCAGGGTTTCCAGGTTTTTTTTTTTTTTTTGGACACAAGGACTTGAACCCTTAATAATTTTAAATCAAGCACCTTTGTGTATCACACCCCAGCATATATAGCACCATGACAATCCTTCCTGTTCTTAACATTTCATTTACACCTAACACTGTATCAGTAAAATGTAAGATTTTTAAAAGACATTTAGACCATTATGAATGAAATTCTAGACGTAAACAGGTCTAAATGCTAAAGTTTTTTTTCAAATATCCTAGTAAGAAAAGATTTTCACTTGCTCTATCAAAAAATGATTAAAATGTAATAATACAATAACAATTTAGTTTGAATATTATTTTAGTCATTTTCAAATATCCATCTACAAACCCTATTACCCTGACCAATAATAGAACAAAACAGCTGTCAACTAATTCAGTCTACAATAATAATAATAATAAAAAATATAGGTCAGGTCAGTAACCACAGAAATACATAAATGGAGAACTTTTAAACAAATATTGCAGTAAGAAATACAGTTTACAGTTTAAATAAAAAGTTAAAAGCTTTAAGACGAAATGTTGGCAATTGTATGGGTATTAAGGGCCAGAGTGAGTAGCTATACATGAACAAAGGAAAATTAAGACCTGTTAAAGAATATTTAACACCTACAACACAACATTTAAGTAGATTTAAGTATATTTTTAAGGACCAAAATGTAGTTTTTGGGATTTAGGACTAAGACCCAGCTGATACCCTGTGTATTTACATAACAATTTCATAATGAGGATGTTTTGAATGTGTCATTTTCAAGCATCCATTTTAAAGTCAAGTTCACAGAACTTTCATACGATTAGCTGAACTCAACACTGGCAAATTTGAAATTTGGTTTCTGAAGTATTGATATAATGCATTATTTGTCATAGCTCATGTAAAAGATTTAAATTTAAGATGTTTAAATTAAGACTTTCTTAGATTTTTTGTTTAGTTTTTGATAGCAATTGCTGAAATAACAGCATAAACTTTAAATTCATGCACTTTCAACGACCTGCTTGTTAAGTACTTTCCTTGAATTCAAATGCCTAAAATTAACATACTTTCTAGAAGGGTGGGAACCCTAATTATTACTCTAATTAGTCAGCATTATTAGTCTTTAGTCTGACATGATCCTAAAGAAATCAAATGTATATGCTAAATTAGTGAACAAGAAAGATTTCTTAAGATCAATTTTGTATATTAATAAACTTTTTTTCTGACAAACATTTTTAGTGAAAAGACAGATAGGGTCATTACATGACGCTTTTGAGGGACAATGATTTATATGGTATTCTGTAGAACTATAAATATTTAACTTTTAATCAATAAAATGCATACAAGCTGACTAAAAAGTATATCCAAACCAAATGAAGAAAAAACAAAAATGAAAACATCTGCAAGCTATTTTTTGTACCTAAATGCATTGCCCCAGGGATTAAACTATATTTTACCAAGTATGTAATGTAATGTAATGTAATGTGTATTTATATAGCGCATTTATTGTGTATGGCCATACACCCAAAGCGCTTCACAATCATAAGGGGGGTCTCTCCACACCACCACCGGTGTGCAGCATCCACTTGGATGATGCGACGGCTGCCACAGGACAACGGCGCCAGTGCGCTCACCACACACCAGCTATTGGTGGAGTGGAGAGACGTTGATACAGCCAATTCGGTGGAAGGGGATGATTGGGAGGCCATGATCGTAAGGGCCGATAGAGGGACTTTGGCCAGGACACCGGGGTTACACCCCTGCTCTTTCACGAGAAGTGCCATGGGATTTTTTATGACCACAGAGAGTCAGGACCTCGGTTTAACGTCTCATCCGAAAGACGGCGCCCACTGACAGTGTAGTGTCCCCTTCACTTTTACTGGGGCATTAGGACTCTCTCAGACCACAGGTTGAGCGCCCCCTGCTGGCCTCACTAAAACCACTTCCAACAGCAACCTGGTGTTCCCTAGTGGTCTCCCATCCAGGTACTGACCAGGCTCAGCCCTGCTTAGCTTCAGTGAGTAACCGGTCTTGGGCTGCAGGGTGACATGGCTGTGGCTATGTTATGTAAAAAGTATGTTTGTGTGCCTTGCCTGGTTTAGGCCTGTTGTGGATAAATAAAATGACAACAAAACTGTCTTAAATAGTAATTTACTGAATCGTTATTAAAATGATTCCTCAAAACAAATGAAAGTGACTGTGTTTATGAATGGGTCATTAAATCAATAATTCCAGTCATTGGTTTATTCAAAAATAAATTAATTCTGGAATGAAACACCACAGTGTTGTTCACAGATGCACCAATTTTCTGCTCCGGTTTTAACTGGAAAATTTTCATTGGTGAAACAGAAAAAACATTGTTAAACTTATAACGAGACAACATTACCTCTAACACTCAATATTAACCTTCCTTTAATTGAATATTAGAAGTATAATAGTACTTATTAATAGTATCATCATATAAATATAAAACAGTTTTTTGCCTTCATGACCTGATTTACAGGGTTATTGTAACTTTCGAATAGGCTTCATCATATAGTCAATGACTTTTGACTTACAATGCGTTTTTGGTCGATTTTTACAAAGTGGGTGACTTGATTATATCTGGCCCTAAATCATTAAAACAAATGCCTAAATTGACAAAAAAAAAAAACTACTTTATGAAAAAAGCATTGTAATATAAAAACAACCTGTGTGGTTTTCATGCTGAAAGTGTAAACTGGTTAAGCCAGTCTTCACAGAATCTCAATCTGAGTGAATTTCCTAATGAAGTGTACACGTTTTGATCTTTACACCTTGTCAGTCACACCTATAAACACTGCAACTGATACTCACTTGAATTTGCGACTTCTTTAATTTCTCTCAGAACTTCCCTTTCCATAACTGGGTGGTTACAGATTTCTTCCCACGTGCCTTCAATGCCTTTCTGATTGGCAAGAGCTGTCAGTTTCTTCTGATTAGGAACAATGAAGCTGATAACGTAGTTCTGGTCACTGGTGGGCAGAGAGAGAGAGAGAGAGAGAGAAAAGAGGTCAGTATACAGCGCATCTGCTGTTCTGAAGAGAGGAGCCTTTGTTAGGGTCAGTATCATCCCATAAGCATCAGACAAAGCCGAGTGTGCAAACCTGTTTGCGTAAGCGCAGATGTTGTCAACGAAAGAGCAGTTCTTCAGCGCTGACTCAACTTTGCCCAAAGAGACGTACTCTCCAGCTTGAAGTTTTACAAGATCCTTCTTGCGGTCTAGAGGTTACAGATCAAATAAAACAAAGGGTTGAATACCAATAGATCATACAAACATATGATTTTAATTCAAACAAAACTTCCACTGTATTGAACATATTTGACCATCAATAAATTCAGTAATCCTTTAATTCGATACACCTTATCGGTGGTCAATTAAGCATCAATGTCATGAACATACACATTTTTGAGGTGCTCGTTACTTTTGCACAACATCAACAACAAATACAGCAGATGCAAGGAAAATACAAAGCCATGAGTATCTAGGAGTTTAATAAAAAAGGAGTACTAATGTATGAGTGTATGGTCTAGTGTTGTTGTGTTGCACCACATCAGCATTATCAAATAGTTAATTATGTCAGCGATATATTCATAATTTCCTAAACCCGTTTGGGAAGAAAATAACCTGCTTACAGTAACAAAAATCATTTGCTCACATGGATGCACCATTTGACAGTGTTAACATCCAAGTCAGCAAGAACACCACTCTAATAAATATTCTATCTTTTTCTAAAATAATAATAATATAAATTTATACACAAACACAAACTTTTCCTATTTACACTATTCCTTAATGTAGAAGCAGGTGGAGCCATTGGAACCTTATTGGTTTGAGACGTCCAGTCTCAATCACTTCCATTGATTTTTAATGAAAAAACAGCTTGTTAAGCTGCTAGATATTTCAAACATGTATTTTCATACTATATTATTTATTAGTATTGTATTGCCATCAACACATTTGTTTGTAGGGCAAGTAATTTACTGCAAGTTATTATTCCTAATCATTTCCCCTATAATCGGCATTTGTAAAACAATCCCAGAGAAGAGCTTACTTCCGCATTGCACAATAAATTCAATATACTATGTTTAGATTTGGAGTGTCATGTTGGCCAGTATGTGCAACTAAAATAGACACATCCTGTATTATTAAGGCTAATGATTTATCAATTAATTTATAGTTAACGTTAAAAACTGATCATGGGAAGTAGTGAAATGTGACTGCCTAAAATCTAGACATACCAACAATCTGTAGACAGCCGTCAGCGTGCATCTCTCCTATATCGCCAGTGCAGAACCACCGCTGGCCATTCTGATCGACAAAGAAGTCGTCATTATTACAGCCTTCAGTCCTGTAGTAGCCCATAGTCACATTAGGACCACCGATGAGGATCTCGCCACGCGGATGAGGCTTGTCACGCTTTGTATAACCACCTGAGAAAAGCATATAATGAGTTATAACCCAATGTTCACACTTTGCAAGCATGGGTTGGTTTAAAAGAACTTTATTCTATTGCTCTGGTAATGCTGTCACCTGAACCTTGGTGTGTACCAAGACCAAAAAATGGGTGTCAGACGACTGAAATATGAACGCAACATGCACTAAAGGCATCTAAGCTAATCAAAAACAGAATGGGAGGTCACAAATGGTGATGCTACAAAAAAACAAAAGATTTCATGACAAAAAGAGTTGTGTGTCCAAAGCTCCATGATCATTAGAGGACCTATGTTATCCATGAATCAGTCCAGATGCCAGAACAGCTGTCTCTGGAATTCTCGGCACTGTTTTGAGTGCTAAACATTTGATGAGCTCTTACTGAGTTCTCAGCTGGTAAAAATAAAAACATGTACATGGATACAATGAGTACATTCACCCCAGGACACAGCGCCGTTTTGGATGTTCAGTTAAGTTCCACCATTAAATATAAATCCCTAAATCATACTGAAAACCTGTAGCCATTTTAAAACATTAATATTGGAAAACTTTGTTAAATAAATTCAATATTAATGGCTTATGAAAACATTCAAGATTGTACCATAGTCTTCTTTTTATGAGTATGACAGTTATGGTGGTCAACATGTATTAATGTTCTATAGCAACAGTTGTGTAATGATTCCACAGAACAAAATAACAGCATTTAGATTTGTAGGAAGCATAATAGAATATAATTTACAGTGAACTGCTTTAAGGCTTAAGATATGCACAAGATATGTACAAGTAGGAGCTAAATGGAAAATGTGTACTAGTATTATTGACCCACCTTCTACCCAGTCTTTGAGTTTGACCTCGCAGCAGATCAGAGGAGCTCCTACTCGTCCTGTGCTGTAGTCTGCAACTGCACAACAAAGACAAAAATTTCATCTTAACTAATTTGATGACAAAAAGAGTGTAAAGCTGCATGATTCTGGAGACATTAAGAAACTGTTTAAAATAGAGGTCACAGTTCTCCCACAATTCTCAATAGACACCATAAATATGAATAATAATAACAATTTAATAAAAGGTATGAAAGCGTGGTTTTGTTTTGTTACGACATTTTGCACATATAATTAAAATGAATATATATTTTAGATACTTAATCTAAAAGATTTAATAGAAAAACATGTTTCATTACTGGATGAAGCAGCATTTTTGAAGAATCTCTTGAATGATTTCTTCAGTGAAAAGTACATTGTTAATGGTAGTAAATGTAACACTACCAATTTAAACACACAACTTGAAGCTTTAAGATAGATTTAAATGGTGCTTTTTATCACTACTGTAGTCATCACTATTTATATTTCTATATGCTGTAAATCATGGGTCTCAAACTCAATTCCTGGAGGGCCGCAGCTCTGCACAGTTTTGCTCCAACCCTAATCAAACACAGCTGATCCAAATAATCAAGTTGTTCCAACACCTTGATTAGTTGGATCAGCTGTGTTTATTAGATTTGCAGAGCTGCGGCCGTCCAGGAATTGAGTTTGGGACCCATGCTGTAAATTGTACATAGATAATTTATCAGTAACTTTGTTAGTTGATGGCATCACATAAATTATGGGACATTCTACCAGAATCATACATTTTTACTTATAAATAATGTGACAGGGCCTGACCTTTAGGTTGTCGTCCTCAAAATAAATCATACAAAACAAGCATAAAAATCATACAATTCAATGATAGAACACAATCTTGATCACGTTCAGCTTCTCCATCAAATAACGTCATTTCTGAATCATAGCCTTGTTATGTTAAATTTAATGCAAATGTGACAGGAATGACAAAAAATATGGGGACAATTGTACATGTATTTGTATCATATTTTTGTAGTATTTAATTATAATTTTATGTTTTTAATCAATTGATGTGAATGATGACAACTTAAACTTGTTATTTATGAATTTTTTTTCCTAAATATCAGTTTTTGGCACAAAAAAACTAATAAAGCTGTAGGTTCAATTGGGCTGATTACAAGGACAATGACAGGGTTTGAACATTTGCAAAGTGTTTTTAATAAAGAAAGAAAAAATCTGAGAACCAAAATGAATGACATATTCCTACAGAACAACTCAGAGAAATCAACCATCAGTCCATTTTAAAAACATTTGGAATGAAGTACTTTTTATTCACTGTATTTATGTTATGTGTATTTATGTTATCAGTGACAGATAATGTACATTTCTGGTAGAAAGTCCATTATAATGGGATATATGTACAGGGAATTTTAATTTTCAACAAACTAACTCAACCGCTTCCAGTAAACAGTCAGGCCATTATAAAATTTCAGCATTTATTAATCTTTAAAAAGTCTCTCTCACAGTTTACACTTCTGACTGGGACCGTCAGGATGCGATAAAAGACATTTTAAACTTAAAATAAAAAATATATACTTTAAAAAAAAAAACTAGAAAGTGGGCCAGTTTGTCTAAGTGCTATTAGTATACAAGTACACTAGTATACTTTTATACTTGACCATTGACCGAGTGTGCACACGAGAGAGACCGAGTCCAACATCTACAGGTTATGCAACGTCAACGTAATCTTGTCAAAACAATGTTGTTATTGCTGTAAGATGGCATTTTGTCAGACTATAAGTAAAGTTTCACAAACTGATTTCGAGAGGAGCATGTGATATGACTGATTGCAGCTGATCTCTTATGTTTAATCATTAGTAAGCCAATCAGATCATTCCAAACTCACTATAAATAGCCCGACTAGCATTGAGCTGCAGTCACGCTAGAGTTTGAGCTTGCGAAATTCTGTAGTACGGTGCTGTGAAAAGGGGCCGGATTAAACAAGATGATTAGACATTAAAAAAAGCGAGCGATTGGTCCATGTTTTAAATTTCTGTCCAGAGTGGTAATGTTTTTATCCCCGATTGGTCTCACACAGCCAAGAGGTGTGATTTCGCAGGTCAGAGCTCACCAAGCTTGAGCTATGCGACGCAGCAAACTGCAAAACTTGAAAGTCTATGGGCGAAAAGGCCAGTGTGACCGCAGCTTTACTCCCTCATCTTTGTTTTTTGAAGAATCCCACCATCCACCCCAACTCCTCCTTTACCAGGAGGAGCTCTCGAGATTTTCCTAATCTTGTACCCCTTCTCATGCTCATTGACTAGGTGGGACAGCATGCCAAACCTGCTATTATTACTAAGCAACATCTAAGTCTAACCCTTTAAATTTAAATTTTTTTTTACAAGAATTAAGTGACCATTGTGAAATTAAAGTGATTCACTTCTGAGAATGTATCGGTCCTGTCAGATGTGGCATGCACTCTCATTCCCATAGAGCAGAGAGTGGCTGCATGGAACTCCACCGTGTGTGATTCAGAGAGCAGAAATTTGTAAACGTGCGACCATGTAGAGACAGAAATGACATGCCTGTGTGTAAATAAGATATTGCTTATGGCTATTTAGATTATTTATTTGAAGACGTTGTGATCTGGCGCTATATCAAAATTACAATTAATTTGACTTAAAGGGGTGGCGGGAAAAGCAATTGGGAGGGTGGGGCGCCACCCTAAAATAATGGTAAGGGAAACACTGGTATTTTATTTTAATTAAATTACATTAGTGATGCTGTAAAAGGAACTGTATGAAACTGAAAATAGTCACTTTCACTGGAAGTTTATTGGTGACTGAAACACTTGCCGTGCATATAGTTTTTCAAAACATGCGTGACTACTGTTCTTTGTGGGTCAAACACAAATTTGAATGCCCCATAGCGATCATCCAAACTTGAACAAAAACATGCAAATCATGTCGATTAAGATCTGATGGGTGTTTGAATTGAGATTGTGATCGTTTGACCATGAATCATACAGCTCTACAGAACAGCTTTAAGAAAAGATTCCTCACCTTCGGTTATAGTGCCTGCTCCACAGGTCTCCGTTAAACCATATCCCTGACCAACAGGACAGCAGAAACAGATGTTCATGAAGCGCTGAGTAGCAGGAGACAGAGGAGCTCCTCCAGACAACATCATTCGCACATTTCCACCCAGCAGAGCTCGGACTTTCTTAAACAAGCTGAACACATCAGGGAACGACGAGGATTAAATCTCCAGACTCATTAACAAGAGCACATGTGATTAACTGAAGCCCATTTTCTTACATATTGCAGAGCGGCGCATCATAACCCTTCTTGATCTGCTCGAGCTTATAGTCGTAGGCCAGCTTGAACAAGGTTCTCTGCACACAGCTCATCTCTTGCACTTTACTCATCACGTTTTTATTGATGCGGTCCATTATTTCCTGATGGAACAAGCAAAAGGTGTGAGACTTTCAACAACAGAATTGATGTGATTGAAAGGAGAAGAAAATGTTAATGGAGTCTGACTTACAGGTACAGCGGCCATAAGGGAAGGTTTCAGTACGCTGCAGTCCCCTTTACTTCCCTTTTTAATTTTGGTTGACTGAAAGGAAAAGCGAGCAATTCAATTATCACACAGAGATTAGTTTAATTTGATAAATTGGCAAAAAGCTCACAAATCTGTGTGAATATGTTGCTATATTTATCTGATGCAGTAAAAGGTGCAGTACCTGATCAGACAGGGTTTGTGGTGAAGAATAGCCGATTCTGCAGCCGTATGTCACACATGAGATCTCAGCCGTCATTTCCAGCACATGAGCAAGAGGAAGATAAGCAATATATGTATCCTTCGGTCTGTGGAAGCATACAGGCATACTGATAAAGACCACAATCGAAATTCACTCAGACATTGTTGGATTATTGGTGTAAATCTACTGTATTTAGTTTTCTCTATAGTGTATTTTTTACCCATCCGTCATATTGCAACTCTTCATTTTTCTAACGTAGACACATTTGGGCATGAATGTCTCAGGTTTGATCATTTTTCAAAGAAATGTCTTAAATTAGATATCAATTTATATACATTTTTAGATTTTTTGATTTTTTATTAAAAATTTTATTAGCAAAATAAACATTTTTTATTTGATTTAAATACCACTAAATGTACCATATTTTTATGTAAAATATTCATGATATATGTTCCAGTTAATATTTATTTTCTATGTTTATTTTTCACCACTACTTTAATTATTCCAGTAAGTTCCAACATTATCTGTTCTGTATATAATTTGTTGGGCTAATTTAAAATGCTTTTATTCAAATTGGTCACAAAAAAGAAAAGAAAAACATTTGACAATTGTTTCTTCATTTCTCTGGATTTACTAGATTTATTAGATATAGGCTTCACAAATTAATAGTTTTACTCAAAACATATGCTTATTAATGGAAAATACAGAGAACCTATACAGGGTTTCTGCAGGTTTCACAGAGTTAAATTTAAGACTTTAAGATGTTTTTAAGACCATTATGAATGGAATTTTAGACCCACAAAGGGCTAAAGGCTAAGGAATTCTTCAAATGGCCCTGATGGAAAAAAAGATTTTTGTTTACCTATCAAAAAAATATCATAATTTAATACATTTAATAATACAACAATACATAAAAAAATAAAACAATAAAATGTTTTAGATTTTATTTCCTAGCTAAATACTTTAAATATTGTGTAAAAACAAGCAAGATCTACTTAAATAATAATAAAAAAATGAACAAATGTTTTAAAAGTTAAAAAAAATATAATAAATTAAATCAACAATCTGTCCAGGTCGGTGTTCCCAGCAGTAAATACATGGATAACATTAAAACAAATGTTACTGTAAGGAAAATAATTAAAGCATTATGATAAACAGAGTTAGATATTACCTTTTTAAATAGAAAGTTTTACTGAGATGATTGTTGGTGATTGTATGGGTTTTGGCCAGATCTGGTAGCAATACATGAACAAAGAAAAATTAAGACCCGTTTAAAAAAAGATTTAAGACCTACAACACGATTTCGGTAAATTTAAGACTTTTAAAGGCCTAAAATTAAAATTTTGAGATTTAAGACATTTTAAGAATTTTTAAGACCCTGGAGAAACCCTGCCAGAACAGCTGGGAAGTCTCTTATTTTTATTTATTTCCAGAGCTATACATACATGTTTTTGTAATCATAATAAAAAAGTATGGATAAGCATACTTAATTATATTTGGCAATGCTTCATTGGAGTTCATTGTGCTGAATGACGTCATCTACAGTAGGAAAAGAACTACAAACTGTGTGTCTTGGCTGATATTTTTTCCGTCTCTTTTTTAAAAAACAACTGAATGCTAAAACTTCTTATATAACCATGACCGCTGAAAATAAAAAGGTAATATTGCACTCTATTATACACACCCCAACCCAGGTATCCTCTCACACTGGCCTGCCATGCCTCCAATCAGGTTACTGTGGATGATCATCACCCCTTTAGGTCTCCCGGTGGAGCCGCTGGTGTACATAATAACAGCAAGATCTGATGGGACGGGCTTCACTATTGGTCTATTCACTGAAAAACAAAACAATTGTTGTTTATTTCTCTGCTGATGGAGACGAATCCATTACAGTGCAAATTTTGATTCAAATCAATATTGTGTGGTGGTTGAACATTGGATAAACTAGAGAGAATGTTAATTAGCATATAAATAAAATGTCAACTGTGAAGTTGGTGCTTTTAAAGACTTAACGGTACTTACAGTTTTCTGGCTTGGCTCCCAGCTCTTCAACTGAGTGCATGCTGTGGATCTGGATGCCCTGTGGAAATCCTGCTGTGTTCATGCTCTTATTGTCCACGTAGATGATGTGCTTTAAATTGGGAATTTGAAGAAGAACACTCTACATGGGAATAAAAATGTGAATAAACAAATTTATATAAAAAAACAGAACTTTTAAATAAATACATACATTTTTAAAGCCGGCTGGCACTAGCTTTAGCTTTTGACTGTCAATTTGTTGAACTCCAACATTAGAAAGATAAAAGCAAAAGATTTTGTGAAAAACCAGGCCCGTTCAAAAATTAAAGAGAAAGTTCAACCATAAAGTAAAAAATTCCTAACGATTTACTCAATTCCTCAAATGGTTTAAAAAATTTCTCAATGCAAAAAAGACATTTTAAACAACTTCGGAAACCAGCCAATGGTTCACACCAAGGTTATTTTAGTTTTTAACTAAAGCTAAAACTTTGTTAAAAAACATTTTTGTTAATTGAAAATAACAAAGAAAAAAAAAGAAAAACTAAAACTAACCACAGTTACTAAAAAAAACTAACTAAATAAAATGATTTTTTGCTTCAGTTGAATTTGTTTGGTTTTAGGTTCAGCTAATTTAAAAATATTATTAAAAAAAAAGCTAATTTAAAAATGCAAAACTATAATAACCTTGGTCCACATTCACTTCCACAGTAAAAATAAATATGGAAGTCAAATGGGAACCATCAATTAGTTATCAACATTCTTTACAATCTTTTTTTTTCAATAAAGGAAAGAAACTCATGAAGTCCAAATGTTTGCATTTCCATAGTTTTTGCTTACCAAACATGATTAATAAAAGTCTGTTCACATAAAGGTTGACAACTATAACAAAATGGATAAAGGCAGAGCCCACAGCTGTAATAACAGCTGAGAGGAACAATATTGTTGGGAAAAGATAAATAAATAAATCGCTTGGTGTGGTTTTGTTTTTTCAGATGATAAAAACATTCACAGCAAATCAGAATGCAACAATGCATATAAAGCAGCAGGCAACAAATCATAATAAACAAACGTTAATGTGCATTAATGTGGGTAATAATATAGTTAATATAGTGTTAGCTGTCGTCAGTGTTCCTTGACATTGTATTGATTCAGAACCTACTGTACATTTAAGAAAATATCAACATTTTAACCGAGTTAGTTATGAGTGAATAAGCCAGATGTGAGTAAGCCAGACTTTTGTCAGATTCAGTATGGGTTTTATCTCAAATTTATATTGATGATGTGTGTCTATCCATCTATTCATTCATCTATCATCTGCAGTTTTTGAGTGTAGCAAAGATAATGCAACTGAAAAATGTGCTGTTTTGACATTGATTTGTGCCAGTCATTCTAACCTATTCCTTTTAACCCATGTGTATTGTTCAAATTGACAACCCTTTCATTATGTTTGTGGCTGTTTTTGGCCCATTGACCTCTATTATAACTACATTTTTTGATTGCAAAGCCATGACATCAAATAATGCATTCTTGACTGCTGGTGGTTTTCCCTGTTGGCAAACTGTTTAATTTTGACTTTGTCAATGGGGACAAAACAGCCATGAACATAACGAAAGAGTAGTGCATTTTGAGTGTATTGCTGAGCTTTTGTAAAATTTCAATTTTGGATTTTTCCAAAATGTGTGTCAACTTAAGATTTGTCACCAAAAATAGTCAATTTGCTGAAACACAGAGAAAGTTGTGGCCAAATTAAGCCTTGAAAAAAAATAAAATAATCTCAGCGTGAATGAAAACACCCCCAACAGCACAAAAGGGTTAACCTAGTTAACAGCTTGACAGAAACTCACATATTGTAATAAGCACTACAGAAATAAAGGTGACTTGACAGGATCTGCACTAAAAATAGCACACAGGATCAACAACTTTTCTTTGTCCAAACAATAACACGCTGAAAGAAAAGGTCGGTTTCTTAAATAAAAGCTCACCTTTAGTTTTGTTTCCAGCAATTCTATACTGGTGACCAGGTGTGTAACTCCAGACTCATTCAATCCATAAGCCACTGCGTCTTCTCCAAGAGTCGCATAAAAGGTGACCACTGCAAAAATAAATGAATAAAACACATGAAACAGATTAACAAAAGAGGATTAAGATGAAAGCATATTCATTACATTTTGGGTCACAAAAGCATCCGAATCATCGGCAAGCATTAAACCTATGACTATTTTTTTTTTAGGGATAAAGGAAAGTGTGGTAGATGAGAGTAAAAATAATCTGGTTTCCTTACAGGGGAAGTTGCGTCTGAAGCAGGCTTGAGCGGTGATCATCCATTCAGCCCGCGTCTCACAGAAAATGGCAATGGTGCTTTTTGGCTGTTGTCCTAGTGCTGCCAGTCCGCTCCCAAAATGACTGACTTCAATGTCTAACTCCTCATAGGACTTCCATTTATATTCACCAAGAATCAACTGGCAATCAAAAGCAGTCACACACACACACACACACACACACACATATGCGCACACACTTTTATATTAATAAACATTTTACCCTGGTGAATTTTTTCATCTTCATTACCAAATGAAAAGCTTTACAATTCATTTCTGCAGTATTTTTAAAAATAATTCAGAAAGTTCCAATTGTTTAACTTTTATATAAACTTTTAATATGTGCAATAAAAAATCTATTTGTTTTTATATTAATTACCATTTATAAATCCATTACAAATAAAATATTAATGTATATGTTTGTCAAACAATCTTTAAAGAAGAGTTGAGCACAAACTCAGTAATAATGACATTAATAATGACAAAATATGATTTCTGAAGAATCATGTGACAATGAAGACTGCAAAAAATTCTGCTTTTCCACTACAGCACATTTTACATTTTACTACTACTGGATTTACTGTATTTGTGGTCAGATATAAATTTAGTAGAGAGCATGATCATTTCAAAAATTTTAAAAAGTCTTTCCATCCCTACATTTTTGAACATTAGTGTACATTTATGAATAAAATGTGTTTATAACTCTTTGACATTAGTCGTTTGTTCAGACCAGCGAATTCAGTCTAAACTGAGAAAGGTCATGTGAATAACATAACTAAATTGGATTTGAAGCAGAAAACTGAAATTAAGCAATTTAGCATTGCAGCATTATATGAATGAGCATGTCAGAAAATGTACCTTTTTGAAGACTTTTCCATTTGGCTGAGTCTCATTGTCTTCACTCAGAACTTCTCGGGTTCCAAGGCAGTCTAATTTACCAAAACGCTCTACTGCATAGTCAAACAGCTTATCAAGGGTGTCTTTTCCGGGGAAGTCCACTGTGACCAGGGACTCGAAGCGATCCGTGGAGCGATATGGTCCATCCGGTTGATCGCTGGTTGACTTGGATTTGAGCCTCTTTGCCAAGGCTTTCTTTTCCTGGGCTCCTGTCAGAAAGTACCATGGCAGAAAGCTCAAGAGGGAGTAGAGCCACACTACTGCATGTACTGGAAACAAGAGAACGGCACTGAGGTCCATGTTCAGACGCACGTCTGCTGAGAAGCTGGAGGGGACTGAAGGATGAAGGGTCAGGCAGAGCCTGAGATACACTAAGATTGTTGCCTTGGGTCAAAGTTCAAAAAGATTCTAGAAGTGTCTAATATGCGACTCCAAAATGTGCAACCTGATGAGAATGACAATAACAAAAAGAGGAAATAAATTTCCATTAGATGCGCGCAACAACAAAATAACACATTATGAGAAATTACTACAAGAAAGAGCAAGTAAGATGCTTCAAGCAGAACAGCTTCAGATACTATTCAGATACTTTAATGAGACAAGTGAGGCTAATTTGAGGCCAGTCACATGTGCCACGAAAAAGACACATTCCAGGCCAGTGAATAGTGCGTCTCTCATAGTAATTTAGGGACACTAGTATGAAGTCACAATTTCCTCACAAATATTCTGCGGTGCCTGCTTTAGTCTAAAAACAGGGTAGAATGACGAACAAACCAACGACATGATATTAAAGCACAAGGTTGTAACACTAGCTTTTGCTTATTATTGTAGGCACATTTGATACACTTCTATTATGTGTTCTAGTTCCTGGTACAGCATGGCAGAAATGCCAAGGCCACTGGTTAGTCTAGATTTCAAGGAAGCACTTTATAATATTGTAACAGCTAATCTTTTTCCTTGAGTTATCTCCCTCATTAGCCACGTAGGTGAACTCTGGCTTATAATCATTTCAACTCAGGGAGATAAGGTCAACTCCTGATCACACGACTGCTGTCAGATTAAGGAAGAAACAATAATAAGCTCTAAAGACGGATTCAACAGAAACAAATTCAAATGAACACCACTTTTACAACCTGTAAACAAAGACCTTGTAACATTTACATAGATTTGCATCACCCTGACACTGTGCTCAGTACTGTCCATGAAATAAGACCCTCTCTGATGGTGTGACCAGCTGTAGAGCTGTTGCAGTGGCATAAGCAAAAGGCAAAAGGTTATGATAGGACATAGTCCACTGACTCAGATAACCAAACCCTTCTTACTTCAACAATTAAGCAATCAGTCTGTTTGTTTTTAGGCTGACAACATTTTGGTGAACAGAGACCAAGTCACGATATTATCAATCCTGGTAAACCGGCATGTGATGTTGACACAACCCTAAGCCTATATTGGCTAGGGGCAAAATAATATCTGCTGCTTCAATGAAAAAACAAAAACAACAACAACAAATTTGGTATGATATACAGATATTAAATGTTTTGAAGAAACAAATTAAATAATTGTTATGTTATTATGTACTTTAAATTCAGAATTGGTCTTTAATTCTAAATGTAAATCTTTAATTCTGAAACGTTGTTTTGTTTACATAATACTCCAAGTTAAAAATTAACCCTTTTTAAGTCAGTAAACGAAGACAATTACTGACAATGTGCAATTATAATGTGAAGGACATTAATTTTATAAATGTTAAAAATTAATTCAAATTAAATTCATTTAAATTTTAGTTACAAGTGACCATTAGATGACAGAAAATCTTACATTTAACACTAAAAACGTTATCTACAATTAAACGCCCCAATATTTAAAATCTTCACATACATGAAAGAAATATCACACCCGAAATTAATGAATGCTCTGTGTTTCTAATTCAAAGTTAATTACATTAACCATCAACAAATTAACTTCTAAAGAAACCAACTGTGTTAATGCTGACTGATGCAATTTCTTAATCTGCCCGGACGACCTAAAGCCAGTACAAAGGTTATACTCAATGAGAACCCTTAAATCCTGGTGAGAGTGGTCAGCGAGCGGAGACAGCCAATGATATCATTCCCTTCAGCTCACCCCACTCACGGACCAGATCCTCAGCAGGTGGACATACAGCGGACTGGAATAGAAGACTGGATGCTGGATCTGATCCCATTATCTGTGCAACACTTGCTATCATGCCTGGCCTTTACCAAGTGACCTCCGTTAAATAAAAGGACACATTCTGACAAGCTGACCTGAATGTACACTTTCAAAGTACACATCAATTGTGCTTTGAGTGGCTGTGATTACAGTCCTTTCACAAATATTAGCATAACCCATTGGTGACGCGGTCATGTCAAGTCTATCTTTCTGTAAACATAACATACAATGACGTGTAGTTGTAAAAAGATAGTTCAACCAAAAAAAAAAAAAAATCACGCTCAAACCATTCAGATTTAAGTGACTTTTGTTCTTCAGCAGAACATATACAGGTATGTTTATATATAATATCTAAACTAAATAATACACTAGCAAGAATTGCTGAGGTCTTATGAAAGGAAATGACAGGTATGTGCAATAAACTTTACATTATTTAAAATATAAATTTTGAAACCACAAACTCATTTCTGAGCATGTCTACTAAAGTTTGAGAGCATTCAAAAATGAAGTATGCTTACTTCACATACACAATCACAGTCTGGAAGATGAACTGTTCAGATTCCTAATGTTAGATAGACATCATTATATGACAGGAAGCTCACAGTCCAGATTGTTATAAACATAATGGGGATTGTTTGCCAAGGCAGTAGATAAAATGTAATAATGTTGTAGCTTAAATAACTTTCTTTTTTTCATAGATCAAATATTTTACTTGCATAATAAGACCTTAATGTAATGTAAAATATATACATGCACACACTCAAAAGTTTGGGGTCAGTATGATGATTTTTAAATGTTTAAAAAAAGCTTATCCTGCTCACCAAGGCTGCATTTACTTCATCAAAAATACAGTAAAAAATTAAAAACAGTGAAATGTTATTGCACTAAAAAATAACTGTTCAAAAGTTGTTTATAATTTAATTTATTACAGTGATTTAAAGATTAATTTTCAGCTTCATTACTTAAGTCTTCAGGGACACATGATTCTTCAGAAATCACTCTAATATTAATTATTATTATTGTTATTATTAGCATTATTATTAATGGTAACAGTAATAAAAGCATTAATGACTGGAGTAATAACTTCATTTGAAAATATCTTCAATAAGAAAAGCAGTTATTTACTGTAAAAAAATAATAATTTAACCTTTTTTTTTTTACATTTAATAATTAGCTTGATGAACAATACTTTTATATAAAAAAACTAAACAAAACATGAAAACAATAAAATAAAACTGACCCCATTCTATTGACCGGTAGTGTGTGTTTATATATTTTAAATATACATTATGAATATACATTATGAATAACATTTATTATTATAATTTTCTATTTATGGGTAAACAATCCCTTTGATATTTATATTTACAAATGTTCAAGTAACACCATCAACAAATAGGGATTTACCTAATAACCGAAAATACCGTTACATATTTTAATCATAAAAGCTGTGCCTATAAAGCTACGTAAAGTTATGATTCATTTGCATTTATTTTGGGCGCGACCTCATTATGTTCAAACTGCCGTCAGTTCTACGCAGATGCACGTGTTCCGTCCATCACCGTGGAAACGGTTCAGTTTGATAAATGAAACACGTTCCATTTCAACCACATCTCTATAAATAACGAAATCCGGTAACGTTAAAGCTCTTTTATTCCGCCTGGTCTGATCATTGAATGTGAATATGATGACGACGGCTCTCTTCGTGGGATGCCAAACGTCAAACGCAGCATCATCATCATCACCATGAGAGCATGGAGGATGCCAAGACAAGATTTTCCCATCACATAGCCTCATTTCAAACAATTCTGAACCAAAACTCAATTTACACAGTTCAATCGCCATTCAAACATTGGAATGACGTATGGTTTTCATATCTGATAGACCCAGTGGTTAGCAAAGCTAGCGTTTCCTTTATCGTTCAGCCATCTATCGTTATTAAAAAGTTATCGCAGTAAACAGAGAAAAAAGAAGAAAACAGTCCTTTCGTCAAGCATAACCGAGCTCTAACGATTATAGTAGTGTTGTGGAGCTGGCTAGAAAGTGATGCTTGTTAAATCTTACCGGCTTTTAGTCTCTTTCCTCCTCAGCCGGATCGGGCATTCGTGTCTCTGCTTGCCAAGCGCAATGACCGACAGTTACCTCGTTCAGCGCGTGTTGTTAGCGTTACACCCGGAAATATTGCGTCATCTGACTCCATATTTTTCAGCCAATAGTAGTCTAGACAATGCGAAAAAAGCGCATCACTGACTTCCTGTTGCTGTTGGTGCACTTCAGGTCACCGCTGTAATAATGGTTCTAGTGATATTAATCTTGCTAAATAAGGAAGACTAATTTCTTGTTTTGTATGGTTATGAAAAAATAGCCGGTAGGTCCAGATCAAATTGTACAGCGTTTTTTTTTACAAGAATTATTAACAAATATGAATATTAACAAATCTTACTGATGCTCTATGCTGTTTTTGCAACAATAAAAATAATCCATAAAACATTTAATTTATAAAATGAAAATCAAACATTTTATGAAACATCTATTAGGATAAAAAACACTGAAATAAAGAACATTATTTTACACAAAAAATTATTTAAATAAATGATTAAAATAAATAGCTTAAATACAATATATATATATATATATATATATATATATATATATAATTTTTTGATTAATTTTAATTTACTTAATTATATATATATATATATATATATAATGAATACATTACTATAATGCAAAAAGACAAAAAAAAATTTCTCAAATAATATTTTAGCTCATTATATTATTTGTTTTCACATGAATTGGCTCTTTCCATAGGAAGCTATTTAGTATACCAATTAGGTTGAGCATATAAATAATAGGCAATTAGGCTCTAAACCAAAGGTGCGCAAACTTTTTCCTTTAAAGAGGTAAACTTGACTGAAGGCTGTGGACCGAATATTTACCCAAACCGTATTACATTAAATTTGCCAAGGGGAATTTCCTCATTTATTCTGTAATATTTAAAAACTAGAAAACGTTGCTTTAAATCATATTTAATATCTAATGCAGTATCATTTTAATATTTTATAATGAACCTATTACTGTAAAAACAAACAATTCCATTTATAACACAATAAAGTTCAGTGCTGAATACACTAGTCGAGCTGCTCCTGTCTTTACTTTGAAATGCTTGTAGATGTCATACGTACTGTACGTCAAGCGATAGTAATAACATTTTAAAAGATTCATTTACAACATTTAATTGAATCATTTAATTTAGTTGCCTTTTTTGAGCTCAGCAATAAAACAAAAAAGAAAGATTATGCAAAATTAAAAACAATGATTTTTGTCAAAGGCATTCACCCCAACCACCAACTTCCTCCCTCTCTTTTTTAGATGGGACGTTGGGCCAAATCAAAGGTTACCAGAGACCAACTTTGGCCTGCAGGCCCTACTTTGGGCATCTCTACTCTAAACAGTGAAGAGAAACTAGTTTTGGTGTTTTAAAATAGCAGATAATATTAAGATCACATTCTTGTTCTGGAAATTAAACTATTAGAGTATACTGAAGGCGCACACATTTAAGCAACAAAAAGCTCACACAAAATAAAACCTCAAGACTTGAGGAGGGAAAAACTCCCAACACTGGGACAAATGAATCATAATAGTCTGCTTATTAAGATCTGTTTTTATTGGCTGATATTTACATGGCGATAAAAAAAATCTTTCATGACTTGTAAATACGCTGTTGCCATAATAATGAAGCTGTAGGTGGAAGTCAGGTGGAATAATGTCACAACATCAAGCTGTTCAGTCCATTAAAGAGAGATCACTTTTTGCCTTCAACCATGATGATGTGGTAACCAAACTTTGTTTTCACAGGAGGATCAGTGTATACAGGTTTGTCCATAGTGCTGATGGGAAGTGCAAATGCGGCATCCTGAAATGGTCCCACCATTGATCCTCTTGTCATCCAGCCAAGGTCACCCTGTCATACACAAAGCAAAACTTTAAGACATACAAGCTGGAGCTAAGACATTTAGATTGTCTTGACATTTAGAAATGTTTATTATAACATCGTAAATATCATAACAAATTGCTAAGCAATGCTAAAACACACTTTTACCAGAGTTAAAAAATAATGGTACATAATGTTCTCAAGACACTTGGCAACTGCTTCTTTGAGGTGTATTTTGTTTTCCGTATCAATACAGAATACAAGTGAAGCATGATACTACACTAATTGAAGCTGTTTATTTATTTTTAATTATAAAAAGTGTTTTATCAAATCAGCAGTCTTTGATATAACTTCAGCTTTAAAATACTGCGTAGGTTAACATTTCACATTCATTGTCAGAAACAATCACTTTTGTGTGCTGTTTTTTAATAAATATAACTATCAAGTCAATTGTATTAATTTTTTTGACAGAGAAAGTCAGTATCGAATAGGGTTAAATGAAATATAGTGAATAATATTAGGAGTTCTTTTTTTCATGCTAATTAGATTTTGAGGGATTTCCCTGCATTTACAGTGCATGCAATGCCATCTGGTGGTTAAAAACAACGGTACCCATAGGAACAATGCATAAAAACAGAAAAGCACACAACATATTTGGTCTGGTGCTTAAAGGAGAATCTGACATTCATATTCATATATACAAACAGGCTTTTTGCTATATTCTAAATACGTGTACAATCAAGCCCAAAATTGGAAAATTCTGACTTAAAGTTTTTGTTCAGATGTAAATAAAAGCTGAAAAATATTTTTTTTTCCACAATTATGCCTCTTGTACATTATCTTATTATCTTTTGGGAGAAGCTTGTAATTTTTAGTCAAAAAAAAGTCCTAATTAGCAAGTGGTTTGAATAATTTCAGACTTGACTACATACGACACATTTTTGTATCTTTTAAATTGAAACTTCCATTTTAAGCATGTAATTTGCATGTATTACGAAACATCACAAGTCCATATGTGGTATCGCATGATAAGCTGATTTAGTGCTGCTCAGAGTTTGTGGTCAGTCCACGGTGTGCACTAGAGAAACCCTGCATTGCATCTGAAGAAACGTTAATATCGGAACTGCAAATCCATTCATTCATTGAGACCAACTTTATTTTACGTTTTTCTTTCAAGCCATAAGCATGTCCCACAACCAAATTTCTTAAATCTGAGGAAACATAAATTAAATCCAAAGTCTACAAGCATTGCAGTTACGAAATAAGTAACTTTATATAATGGAAGCAGGCACATTATTATACACACCACACATTTTAACATGTATGTAATAAATATCTTACCAAGATTTGTTGATGTACTGTAAAAATACTAGAAATACCAGAACAAAAGATATACTCTTACTTAAGCTGCTGTGTTTTCTTAAAGAATGAGGTCGTTCTGCCTTTTCTAAGTATGCACCATAAAATACCTGACAAAAGGTTGAGACAAAAGAGCTACACTGATATGCAGTATTCAACATCTGAAGTGAATTAATTTTTGTTTTTTAAAATTGTCCAAGGACAAGAATCGATGTTGTTCAATAGTTTTAGGACAACTCTGATGTAAGGCGATGCTCAACTTCAAATGTTGACTACTGTTCTACATATGAAATCTGTACCATGTATCGCTATTTCATTTAGATCAGTGCTAAACAATTGATTATGTTTTTTTTTTTATTTGAAGTATCTTTTTTTGTGTCTATGTGTTGTGATATATAATCTTGTCCTATGCTGCCTATTTTCACCAGTACTACCTCTTGTAGAAGAGATATAGACGAGATATTTGTATCTCAAAGACCCTCCTGGTTAAATAAGTAAATAACACCAAAAATAAAACAAGTCAATGTTTTTATACACACACACAGGCACAGGCACAGGCACAGACACAGACAGACACACACACACACACACACACACACACACACACACACACACACACACACACACACACACACACACACACACACACACACACACACACACACACACACACACACACACACACACACATACACACACATACACACACACTCTATATGAATATGAAAAATGGCTTACTCCTTGTCTGGCTTTGTCCTCGCTGTATTGTGCTGCCACCTCACTGAAGCGCATTCCAGATTTAATCTTCTCCATTGCTTCCATACATTTGCCATGCTTCTCACAGAGAATATGCCGAACCTATGCAGGGAAAAACAAGAAGACTAAAATGTAAGTGATATGTTAATATTTCCAACAAAAAATATTAAAATAAAACATTTTTTGTTGTTCAATTACTTTTTTTAAATTGTTTTGTGACATTATACTAAAAACACACACACACAAAAAACAAGAAAAAAACAACATTTTCCCAGAACACCAGATCTAAAGAAAATATATAATCAAATGAACAAAAAAAAAGATGAAAACATGGCATAAAAGTATGACACAAGTTCCTTTTCTCTCATATTGTTATGTTGTGTGCATCCATTTCCTTCAAAAAAGTAAAAAAATGTCTGCCAGACCTTATAAAATGTCCTACCAGACCTTCTGATAGTATGCCTTATTTTCTCCAATTTAAGGTGAGACATGACTTCTCTTATTGAGTGGTAATATGTCGGTGGAATAGGGTCTTTCTATTTATGAAATAGTTTTAACTATGACAATAGCTATGTTTCCATCCAAAGATACAACTTCAACCTAAGTGCAAAATTAGAATTTCAAATGAAACAATTGCAAAATAAAAAACATCCAATGTGAGAATAAAATTGTCATGTGCAGTGAAACAAGTGTGATAAAATTACACTTTCTCAAAGTATGGAAACCACTCTAGCTCTTTTTCCTCCCTAGTAAATAAGTTGCAGATACAGTAAATGTTGTCATGTTATAATAGCTACATTGCATTTTCAGTGTCTGATTTCCATAAACAAGATCTGGGAGTTGATTATAGAAATAATTTTGATGATGGAGTTTCCCTCAGGTGTTTCAGGATTATTATTAAAAAAAAGTTTATAGATAAATCCAGTCATCCAATCACTTGGCTTCTGATGCACACTGGGGATTTTATTAAATCTAAATGTATCGCAAAGAAATTGATAAAAAACGGTGGTTTAAAGGATAGTGCTTTGATTATTGAATTTTTCTGGTGTGTATGGGTTACGTAGTTCATGCTAAAAATGCATGTTGTATGCTCAAAAAATACATAAACTGGACACATTCAAATGCAAAAGGAAAATGATAACTATTAAAGGTTTATAACACTGTTCTTTTTAACACCCCTGTCTGAGATTGACCTCATTCACTTTTCTTCAGTTTATTTGTTGCTTTTATAAGTGGAATTGGACCTATATCTGCAAATATAATATTTAAATTATCATATAAATTGTTATTAATAGTAAATTGGATACAGTGTAATTATTGTTATTGATAACTGTTAAATGCAAAAACTTTTATTTTAATTTCAATTAAAGTCTGAATTGTTTCTGTGTTTCATATGTTCATATAGTGCCAGAGTTCAGGCACTAAAGATATTGAAAAATGTTACCCTTACGATAAGGTTAAATAAAATATTTATTTTATACATTTATTTCAGTGGAGCATATTGCAAGTCATTTTATTATGTCTATACTTTAACCACAAAAACCATGCAGCAGTAGATGTTTACCTTAACAGCTGTACCTCCTTTCTGAGCTTTCTCTTTCTTATCACTGTCTCCACTGCCTGAAGCAGCAGCTCCTGTTAAAATACAAATGTGTTTTAGCTTTTATACCAGTTTTATGCAAATGACTTAAAGCTTAAGCATACGTATGTGGATGTACTACACTTTGCATTTTGGAGTAAAACACGTTAAAACATTTTACTCACATTTTTAACACACTTTAACACATTTAGCAAATACAGAATGGTCTAAATGTTTTGGTTACACTATTATGTCTATTATGTTAAAACAGCAGAATATAACAATGCATGCAGTCGGTTAGGCACAAACACTGGCTAGCTAGCTAGCATGTTAGCAAATATTAGCACAGCAGTCAATTATTTGCTGTAAATGGGGATAGGGCATTGCTTCTAATAATTTTTATAATATTAATAATATTACTTCCTAAATTACCTTTAGCACCTTTGCCACCCTTTCCTTTTGGTGGCATTTTCTGTCCTTGTATCGGATGTAGCTTCTCCTAAACCTCAAGCTATGCAGGAGCTGTAACTTACAGCATCCCACGTGGTTACCCTGAAAATTACACTGCAACCCCTTTTCAGTGCACAATTTGCTGTATATGTTATTTCAAATAAACCAAAAAGTTAAAATAAACCAAATGCACAACCAAAAACTGACGCCGATGCAAATTATTTGTAAAGTAGTCGTGAAAAGGTATGACTGCGCAGATATGAGTGGCAATGATGCGCTTGAATACACTAAAAGAGACACGATCAGTTTTCGGTTATTCTAAACTGAAGATCATTTCTCTTTGACTGTGATGATGACTCGAATATTAAACAAAACATGCAGAGCTTTGAGAACAGAGATTTCTTATTGTAAGCTACAAAAACAGGTAGGTTTAACTATTTCTGCGCAAATGTGCCAAGGATGCTTGTGAACAACCCAGACCCCTCATGATGATAAAACCTATTTTTGTCAGGCATAAATTATTACTGTACTAAGATAAAATGATGCATGTTATCGGATAAGCCTTAAATAAGCGAGTTATTAGCTAAAGAGTATAACGAATCACATTCATGTTTGTTGAGAAGCTGCTGCTGCTATAGTAACATGAAGACAACACAGCCTGCCTTTTGCTCCTGACCTGGAACAAAGAGCTTAGAATGTCATGCCTAGAAGTCTGGTGGCAACTACGCATTTTCTAAACAAATACAGGAAATAGTTTTTGTCAATAAGGAATGATAACACAAAGGTAATAAAATACTTTGAAATATGTTTTTTAGTTTGTTTAAGTTTTTACTTAAAGACAGCTGTATGAAATGTTATGCATTGCATATGTATAGCTAATGTGTAATGTTAAGTAGCTGCTAACGAAACAACAATATTGTACATAACGTTACGAGACCTTCCCTAACTTTCTAGGTTGCCTATGAAAGTTTGTAGATTGTTTATAAAAGACGCAGGGCCTTTTTGTGGCAAAGTGACAACCATATGACTAAGCGCGCTCCCGAGAGATTTTCTTCCATTTTATGAAAAATAAAAAGGATGATGATGATGATGATGATGAGCTAAAACTCCAACGTGTCCTTTAAGAAAAAAAATAAAAAATTTAAACTTTGGTCTAAAATAATTGCACATTTTTACATTATTACATTATAATATATATTATAATATATATATATATATATATATATATATATATATATATATTTATTTATTTATTTATTTATTTATTTATACAACAGTTCTGTCTGGTTCTCAAATCTGATTGGCTGATAGCTGTGCGATATTCTGCAATATCAGAACTCTTACAGTCTCTTTACCCTTTGTGTATTACTCCGCCCACATACAGCCAGTAAAAAGCAGACACACAGATCTAAAGTTTAAAAGATGCACGCTGTGTGTGTGTGTGTGTGCATAGTTAAGTAATATTACTTTTATGGCAAATAATAAGTCATTTTCCTGGTATTTAAAGTGAAATATCTCAATATAAACAAAAGAGGCTGAGAAACATTTTCATTTTGAGGGAAATTTCATACGGTACTTAGAGCGTTTTGCATCTGAACTCTTTAAATGCAGACATTTCTAAAAATACTGTGCCATAAGTTACAGTAAGTTTAGGACAGCATTATTAGCCAGCAGTTTCACCAGTTTCCTTAACTTTTATAAGCTGTAAAGCAACTGTAAGAGGCCAGTATCTAAAAGTATATTTACTTGATACTTAAGGTTCACTAAGGAATCAAAGTCACTTTTTCCTTTCTTATTTATTTAAATTCACAACAAGTACTGTGAATCCAACAAGAGGTGCCATGTGATTTATTTACATGTAGCCAAAATTCTATCGAAGGATTTACTTATTTACTAAAAATTACAGTGCGAGCATGTGCGGTAAAGTTTTATTGAACAACGATTACTGTCACAAGATCAAGGGTTTCGGGCGATGCAGTGGGTAGCACGTTTGCCTAACAGCAAGAAAGTCGCTGGGTCGCTGGTTCGAGCCTCGACTCAGTTGGCGTTTCTGTGTGGAGTTTGCATGTTCTCCCTGTGTTCGTGTTGGTTTCCTTCGGGTGCTCTGGTTTCCCCCACAGTCCAAAGACATGCGGTACAGGTGAATTGGGTAGGCTAAATTGTCCGTAGTGTATGAGTGTGTGTGTGTATGTTTCCCAGAGATGGGTTGTGGCTGGAAGGGCATCCGCTGCGTAAAAACTTGCTGGATAAGTTGGTGGTTCATTCCGCTGTGGCGACCCCAGATTAATAAAGGGACTAAGCCGACAAGAAATGGATCAAGGGTTTCTAAATTCTACATTAACACTCTTCACTATTGTTTCCCTAAGCCAGACTATTGCTGATCCCCACAGATGAGTGGTGATAATCATATCCAGCTTATCAAGACTAAAGAAATGTTCCTGCAACCAGCAAAGGCATAAAGAAGATGCTTGGTGAACTGATATCATCAAGATATGGAGAAATATGATAAAGTCCTGACTCTTGGCCAAGGAGGAGCAGGCGTTGTGTCACTGATGAAACATGTTGACACAAAGAAGTTATGTGCAGTCAAGAGAATACACGTGGACAGTTCCAGAAAAACAAAGACCAAAGACGTTGTGTTGCAAGAGGCGATAGTTCTTCGCAGCTTGAAGCATCCTCATATTATAACATGGATTGACACGTTCTTTGACGCAACTAATGAAAGTATTTACATCGTCATGGATTATTGTGATGGTGGAACACTAGATGACCACATTAAAGAGCAGAAATGTGGAGAACACTTTACAGAATCCAACATCATGGACTGGTTTGTGCAAGTGGTCATGGCTGTCAGTTACATCCACTCTGAAAAGATCCTTCACAGAGATATCAAACCTTCCAATGTGCTGTTAACCAAAAGAGGCGTGATCAAGCTTGGGGATTTCGGAATATCAAAGATTATGAATCACACACTTGATATGGCCTCCACTTGTGTTGGAACCCCCAGTTATTTGAGTCCCGAACTCTGTCAGGATGTCCCATACAGCACCAAATCTGACATATGGGCCGTTGGCTGCCTACTATATGAGCTCTGTGCACTCAAACCAGCGTTTCAAGCCAAAAATCTCCTAAGTCTCTTTTACAAGATCATAAAAGGGGAGTACATCAAAGTCCCTGAGATGTACTCAGAAGACATCCATACATTAATCGAGAAAATGCTGTCCTTGATTCCTGAGAACAGACCAAGCGCAGCTAGCATACTTAGCATGACCTATGTGCAAGAACATCTGGGAAACTTCATCACAAATCAGGAAAAAGAACTTACGAAGGTGAATGCTGAATCCAGACCTCAAACTAAAGAAGACTTTACTGTAGATATGGAAAGCAGAACAGATTGTGCCTCAGCTGTCTTTGATAAGACACTGGAAATAGAGATGTCAGGCATTGCTGAGGAGGAAGTGGCCCATGAAGGAACAGAGTCGGATTATTCAGAGGACTTTGACGAACACGATAGCTATGCATCCTCCGAGGATGTTTCGAGAGAAGATGGCTCCTCCAGCCTTGCCAATGTGGCTGAAGAGGCATTTGAGGAATCTAGTGGTAAGAGAGTAGAACATTGATTTTGCTAGACATATTTTATTGATCCTTGAATATCACTCCTTTCCAAAAATAGAATCAAAACCTAATTCTTACTCCCAACTCTGCCTGTAATCTATTTCTAAAATTGGAGGAAAATAATAGATGTGAATAACAATGATGCAGATTGTAAACTTGTCCCATGTTGATCCAGAAATGTTGCTCTTGGTAAAATCAGGCAGAAAATGTGACACAATCATATGAATTAAATTTTCCATTATTTTATTATTGTTATTTGTATCTCCAAGGCAACAGGCGTAGGCTGATGGTGATCTAAGAACGACTTCATATTTTTTGTTGGTGCTACTTTCTGTGTGTTTTTTCCTTCTCTTTTGACAGCTGTATTTGAAGACGAGGAGATTTCTGACTACCCGGATGACTTTGAAGAAGCTGAAGATGATGACCTGGCAGAAGTGGTCAGCTACGCCAGAGATGTCATTAACTCTTCATCTGAGAATGATGTGTTTGATGTGGAGCTGGAGCTTAAAGATGCAGATGGTTTCTCTGTCACCATGAAAATGTTAAAGGAGAAATACATGGGTAAATATATATAGTATATTTTACTTCATGGTGTGGTTACATTTGCCAAAAGTCAATGTTATTTTGTGGGCCCAAAAAAATCTGTCAGTAAAGTATAAATAGTATAAAATGTATATTTTATGTATAAAACTTTATACAGATAGTTGTCTCAATACAAGTCTAATTCAGGCCCATAGCCAACCTAATGAAATGGGATGGTTCTGTTTTTCTCAAAAAGTGGACCTTTTTGCAGTTACTCACTTTATTTTTTATTTAATTATTAGATCTAAATACTGCATTTTAGTGATATTTTAAGCACTGTTTTAGCTGGATTAGCTTGTTAGATGGTCATCATAACCACACTTTTAGATGTACAAAAAATATTTCCTAAAGATTTAGAATAAAAAAAAATAATAAACTTTTATTTTTAAAATGCTAATTTATAACCACCCAATATAATTAGAAAAAGAAATTAGGAATCTGTTAAAGTTTTAAAATAAAAACTGTAGTCTATTGTCATTTATTAGGCAAGTAAACTGGCTAGCACATTTAACTTTCCTCAGTCAGAATTGACCACTTGAATATGATAATAATATAATAATAATGTAGAGCTTATAGTCAAACTAGTTTTCAAATTTATTTAATATGGGCCACTTTTCACACCTTTTTATTAGTCATTTTTTGCTTCAAGAATAAGGTCCAAGATTTTGAATAAAAGTAACTTGTAAAATGTTTTCTTAAACATGACGTCACATGTCAGATTGTATGCTTTCATGGATAGCTAGATGTTGGACTCATGAAAAATAATTGTTATCTTTGGTCAAAACTGATTAGCTAAAATCACGACAGCCAACAGAGAATTTTACTTGGTCTTAAAGCATTTATCGATGGGTTATTTTCTTAATTTATGGTTGCATAGCAGTCAAAATCTGACAAATGAGCTCACATATAGGACAAATTCTGAAAATTTGTCAGTGAGGGGTGGGTCTTTTGAACCACTCGTATACGGTGGCTACGGACCTGCAGGTCAGTATATTTAGTTCATCTGATCATTTTAAATTAAAGAAATATGTGGGTATTACTTTTTCACCCTCATGAAAAACCACTTTACAGATTTCTGTGAAGCAAAACTAAATTTTAGTATTAACGGTCAAATGAGTCAAATGTTAATTTTACATGAAGGTAGCAGAGAGATTGATTAAAGAAACTAATCTTTACTATAACTATCACATGCACTATAGGTGAATTGGGTAAGCTAAATTGTGCGTAATATATGTGTGAATGAGAGTGTTTGGGTGTTTCCTAGTGCTGGGTTGCAGCTGGAAGGGCATCCGCTGCGTAAAACATATGCTGGATAAGTTGGCGGTTCATTCTGCTGTGCGACCCCTGATTATTAAAGGGACTAAGCCAAAAAGAAAATGATTTAATGAACTCAATTTTGGTGACATCATTAAATAGAATTTACTAAAGTGATTTTACTGTATTTGCATAGAAATCAAATGCAAGTGACTCATTTATTTAAAAAAAAAATCTTAAAAATGAAATGTCAAATTATAAATAAAATAATGTTCCATCATAATTCAGCGTAACTGATATTTTAAAAAGAAGAAACACCACACTATCTATATTTATAAATATAAATAAAAGACAAATTAATTACACTACATTTTATTACATTTTAAACTTTTGTGCTGACAAAATTGTCAAACATAGTGGTGTTAAAATGCAAATTAAATCAATTAATATTTCAATAATTTAATTCTTTTAATATTTCTTTTGAGGATTATTATTTTTCTAAGTATGTCTAACAAGATTTTTGATGTATATAACACTAATACAAATATATTTGGTTCTGAGAGTGTCTCTAAATGCTAATATCTGTTCCGTGTTTTGGATTTGTAGAGGATGTTGGAGCCTCAGTCTATGAGGAAATCAGTGAGCACTTTTTGAATGGCCTCACACCAGAAGACCTGCAGCCACAGTTTCAGCACATGATCGGTACTGACCATCTGGAGACCTGCTATCTCATATTCAACCTTGACCAGGAAACCACATGCTGAATCATGCTGTTCCAATTTAGGTAAAGACTCATGAATTGTGAAACATTGTTCTCCTTTTGTGATGTGAACAATTTGACTTTTTCATCAAGCACTCAGTACTCCGAAATCGTTACCTCATATGACCAGTAGGTGGCACTATATAGTAAGAAAATGTGTAACAAACCAATCCAGAAAATGAAAATATCATAGTTTCTCATCTTGGCACCATTAGTCACATCCCAAGGCCTGGAATATAAAACTGCTGCCTTTTAAACTCACTACACACTAAAAGCAGAAATTTATAAGCTACTTGGAAAAAAGAAAAGATTTTACCCATTTCTTCTGCCCAGAGCTCATATAAACTAAATTATCTCTCAACATATTCATTAGACAACGATTATAAATGAGATAGCAGTAGAGAATACCACTTGAACATTTCCTACAGTGATTTCGCTCCACTTCTGAAATATAAAAAAACCAAGGACTGGTGTAGAATTTGTAAATTTATGGGCCACAGCTGCAGTTGTTTTCCACTTAAGGCGTTTTCCCTTAAACTTGTCCAGATCATTCCAGCAGGGAATTAGTCACTGTGATTGAGAAATTGGCACGTGCAATTGTATGAATGACCTTCTGTATTATATTTCATTTAAGAATGTTCACAATCTGCCTCCAGAGAATAGTGTGTTATCAAGCCAGCATTAGCAAGGGAAAACTGCATCGTTTGACACTTTGCCAGAATAAAATGAGAGAAATGTCCTCAGAGAATGTGGTTTTGGCCGTTTTACAGTAAGCAATTTGTTTTAATATCTCAGAAAAAGCTGATATGTGTTGATTATACTTAGAGATATACTCACTCAAGATGGTATCAGGTTGGGCTGTTTCTTCAAGCATTTCATATGCCAAGACCTTGCTTATGTTAAACCTCTTTGTGTGTGTGTGTGTGTGTGTGTGTGTGTGTGTGTGTGTGTGTGTGTGTGTGTGTGTGTGTGTGTGTGTGTGTGTGTGTGTGTGTGTGTGTGTGTGTGTGTGTGTGTGTGTGTTATAGTGAAAGTGAAATAAAAAGACTAGCCAGGAATGAAACCCCATTTTACAAGCACAAAAACCTGATTTTTAACTATGCACTGAGAAAAACATCTCAGAAGATTAAAAATGTAAACTTATATTCCCACAAAATACATTTATTTTTCATGTTATGTTCTGGAAAGAGTAAAACATTGAGTGAGAAGAGTCATTCAAGATAGAGCTTTTAAAAAAAATGTCCATAAGACTGATGGATTGTCATGGGTGTTTCTTTATTTATCCATCAATGCATTTGGGTAAGTGGATGAGACTAGAATAGATGCAGACAGGCCTGAAAGCGCTTTAAGTTGCGATCACCTCTATGCCTTGTCACTTTAAAACCTGTCAATATTTCATCTATATAGGAAAACCAGCCACTGGGAGAGCTTGTCATCTGCGTCTTCGGGGCTTTGTACGATGTGTGATGCATTATAGATTGATTTCTGCATGTGTGTTCCACTGCTTTCTTCTTGCTTTTTTGTTTGCACATTGTTAAAAAAAATGAGGCTAGGATCCTAATTAAGAGTCTTTGTTTTTGAGCTGGCATTTTTGACATGCATCTTTAGAATAAACTAATGAAAAAGTTTCTGGAAATGACAAGCTGACTTTTCTTCTTAGTCACTTATGTTGTTGTTTTCTTCCGTGTCTTCTAATTATAACTTGCTTAGCTTGTATTCAGATATATTGTGCATATTAAATGTGATTTTACAGATTTATATCAAGATTGCAGTGGTGAGTCTGTCTAATATTTGAAGAGCATGAGTGATTTCTGATTTCTTTTAAAATAATGGATATAATTGGATTTTATTAGGAACATATATTTTACAGATTATATATGTACTGCGAATAAAAATGATCAAGCACAACAGTACACTTGAAATTCACAAATTTCATTCATTCATTTTCCTTTAGCTTAGTCCCTTATTTATCAGGGGTCACCACAGTGGAATGAACCACCAACTATTTCGCATTTGTTGTACACAGTGGGTGCCCTTTCAGCTGCAAACCTGGGAAACACACATGCACTCTCACATACACACACATCATACACTACGGCCAATTTAGTTAATCCAGTTCACCAATAGTGCATGTCTTTGGACTGTGGGGGAAACTGAAGAGGAGCCCAGCATAGCCGACTCTCACACCAGCAACTTTTTGCTGTGAGGCAACAGTGCTAATAAAAGGAAATGGCACGGGAAAAGTATTGAACTTATGAAAAAAGGGAGGCGTAAAGAGGCATGGAAAGGTGAAATCTCAGTTTTTAGAAAACAACCCTGCCCCTCTTCAGTGCAAATCCCCACACTTGCATTTCTAAGATGATGAAGATGAAACCAGGGTAGACAATTCATCAAGATAATGATCCCAAACACAGCCAAGGAAACTCTCAATTGGTGTCAGAAAAAAAAACAAAGCTGCTAGAATGGCCCAGCAATCACTTGACCTGAATGTAATAGAAAATAAAGATTAGGATTAGAGTTCATGTAGAAGCGACCCACAGAATGTTCAAGAATTTTAGACTGCTGGGGGTGAGTCTAGGAAAAAAATACGCATAAGCAATGCAAATGACTCTATTCTCCATATACATTTCAGTAGTTCAGTAATCTTGCATTGTGTGATTTCGTTATTACACATAACTCATTTTTCAATTTTGTTTTTGTTTTGTTTTATTTGTATGTTTGTATTGTTCGGATTTTTACTAAAATCTGGGCCAATGTCATGTTAACAGCTCCCTTAGAAACAAATTTTTTTCAGGTAATGTGTTCAATTCTTATTTTCCTGCTGTACATTAATCACTCACACACAAACACATGGAAAAAAACGAGGAGATTGCTTTTGTCAGCTTCCATGGATTTACTAGATTTTGAGGCATGGGTTTGAACAACTTAATATTTCTAAAACTAAACATGAATGTCTGATATTTTTTACATCTTTATTATTATATGCAGAAAAGGCAAATAAAATAAAAAATGCTTCAAGGAACATCAGTTTTATATTACATTCAGAATTCTTTTTATTAAAGGTAGGGTAGAGAATAAGCAAAAAAGCTCATACAAATATAAATCATGCATTTAGAGAAACTGAAAATTATTCAATAGCAATTTAAATTGTAATATTATTATTGTTATTCATTCATTCATTCATTTTCTTTTCGGCTTAGTCCCTTTATTAATCAAGGGTCGCCACAGCGGAATAAACTAATCTTATCCAGCATATGTCCAGCTGCAACCCCTCATTTGGAAACACCCATAAACTCTCATTCACACTCATACACTACAGACAATTTAAGCATACCCAATTCACCTATAGCGCATGCCTTTGAACTGTGGGGGAAAACCCATGCATACATGAGGAGAACATGCAAACTCCACACAGAAATGCCAACTGAACCAGCCAAGACTCAAACCAGCAAGCTTCTTGCTGTGAGGCAACAGTGCTACCCACTGCACGACAGCTCTGCCCACATTATTATTATTATTATTATTATTACAGTCAATTGGTAATTTAATCTGTCATTATTTTTCGTGTAGACTATGTGTAATAATCTTTTTCAAGCAGCCTCATTTAGGAAGGTACTCTTTAAAAGTCCTGATATTCCACTGAAAAAGGAAGAAGAGAGAATGGCAGGAAACTCAGGCAAACATGCTTCCCTTGACCTTTAATAGACAGCACATGTCTGGCCTACATCGGTGAAAGATTTCTCTGATAGATACCACAGACTGCTTCTCACACATGTGTTTAATTGAGTATTGAATTCCTTTTTTTTTGCTTATCAAAGAATATTTTTATGGAAAATACATTGGTTCCAGCAGTACTGTAAATCTCCAACCCACTTTTTCTGATTTCATTCAAGACCACTGGAAGGAAATTAAAAGAAAACAGTTCTTTGCATTCAAGTAGATGCTCATACAAAAATTACTCAAAAATGATACTCAAGTAAAAGTACAGATACTGACTGAAACAATTACTCAATTAAATGTATCTTGCTGAAAATAAACTTGAGTGAATGTAAAAATGTATGACATTTGTATGTACTTAAGCATATTTAATATGAGAGAGAACATTTAATTTCTTAAAAAATATAAAAAATAATTAGTCAGAAATATATAAAAGGTTTAGTTCTGCTATATACATTTCTGGAGAGCACCAAATACACCCCATGAGCTACGTTTTTTGCAGTTTTTGTTGTTGTGAATCTACTAGAGGCTGCTGTGTACTCTTTTTGAGATCTCAAATTTATCTTACGAGTGCTGTTCTCACATAATTCCACCAGAGGCTGCTGTCGAGTTACTGACTGAATGACAAACCTTCCCTCCCCCTTTCTAAACCCAACCAAAAGTGTTTTTAAAAGCACCGATTGACCCACACTAAGCGGTTAGCCGAGGTAAGCGCAAAAAGGAGCAGCGTCATAATTCCCAATCTTCAGAAATGTATTTAGCTACATTTTCAAATTGAGCCTAAATGTTGCGGAAAACAAAGTTAAACTGCAAAATCAAAAAACATATTTTAAAAACACAACAATTAAATTTGCAAAGAGTGGAAGAGTCAGTATAATTATAAAACCATTTATCCAACTAATTGAACATAGAATGTTCTTTTAAACACTTCAGTAATTTATTTCATAACAATTATCGAATATTAATATTTGAATAATTGACATCATCTTGTGCATTCTGCCATACTAAACAGAAATCTAATGGATATACAGTAAAAACAAAATAATAAATAAATAAATTATGTTTGAGATACTGTAAATGTTCATATTTGATTTATTTATGAATTTCTGACTATATATGTATATTTTGTTTTGTTTTTTGAAAATATCAGTGGGTCAGAATAACTACTGTTTTTAATAACAAATGTGCTTTAATTCAAAATCAGGATTATTTAACCAAATATTGCTCTCTTAAGTCTTAGGCATTGTGTTTGCGTGGTGGCAAAGTGAGCATGATTGCCTCACAACATAAAGGTTGCTGGTTTGAGCCTCGGCTGAGTCAGATGGCATTTCTGTGTAGAGTTTACATGTTCTCCCCGCAGGTTTCCTCTGGGTGCTTCTCTTTCCCCCACAGTCCAAAAACATGCAGTACAGGTGAATTGGGTAAGCTAAATTGCCCGTAGTGTATGTGTGTGATTGAATGTGTATGGTGTTTTCCAGTGATGGGTTGCAGCTGGAAGAGCATCCGCTGCATTAAAAATATGTTGGATAAGTTGGCAGTTCATTCCACTGTGGCAACCCCAGATCAATAAAGGGACTAAGCAAAAAAAAAAAAAAAAAAAAATGAATGAATGAATGAAAACAACACATATTTTGTTTTTTTCATATGCGTTTTTTAAGTGCAAAATCTAAAGCTCTAAATGACAGCATTAATTGACATTTCGACGAAATTTCATTCGTTTTTACTCAAACACATATAGCTGTTAATTCAGAGAAGTTTGAGAGAGCATTTTCAAGAGGTCTCTTTATTTCCCCCCCTTTTATTTTGGTTTAAAATGTAAAAAAAAAAAAAAATGCAAAAATAAAAATTAAATGTAAAACATACTTGCATTTTAGTTTAAACACAATTATAAGTAGTAAAAATGACAGTTTCTTCTGAAATGTACTCAAGCAAAACACACAAGAAGTCAGTTTGATTGGCAATTGAATAAAGTCCCCAAAAATGAGTACAATAACCAAGAAAAACATACTCAAATATTCTACATCTACACAGCAGCAATACTACAAACAAAAACAACCCCCACAGTCTTACTGTTTAATGTCAGATCTGTAAAATATTGATGTGCCATTGTTCCCTGACTCGAGACCAGTGAGTATTGCAGAAGTGAAGTGGAAGATGGTGACAGTAGCCTGCACTTTAACCTGCTCCGGATGCCTCTCCAGGGGACATCACAGATCACAAACACACCATCCTGTAAAATGCAACTCTGCTCAAACCCAAGACCACAGGGACTAAAAACAGCACTGAAAATGACATCTAACTCATCAGCCGCAACTGTGCTGGGAAACAAATGGCTTAATCCAGTGGAAGAGTAAAAGCCTCATGTACTAGAAAGGTTGATGGCACCTGATTTCACCATCTTGAGTGGACGCTTGGATAAAAATAACTGGGACAACAGCTGTCTGAACGGCTTATATCAGGATTGTACAACATGAAGCTGAGCATAAAACTGTACAGCACACAGATTATTACAGGTCAGCTGTTAAGTGCATCAGTTTATGGTTATTACCAGCCTGATCTCATGAGAACTATTTAACGTTTTGTCTGTTTAGTGGCTAATATTTATGAATGAATTTTATACGTTTCATTCATATGAAAATGTACAATTTTTAAAAGAAGGCGTGACACCAAAACCCCACCCCTAAATTCAACAGTAATTGGGAGATGAGCAAATCGTGCAAAATTGTATGAATGAAATTGTGCAATTACGAATTAGCCACTTAATTAAAAAGTTACGAATTGCCATGAGATAGCATTGGTAAATTAATCATTTGAATAATCCTAATTAAATGTTACTCATTCACTTTAAAAACAAATCTGTTTTTTTTCCTTCTCACTTAAAAAACACAGTGCAAGTCAAAAAAACGCATGCAAATTGAATACACTAATAATGAGAAAAACAAGTGACTACCTCATTTAGAATTCGTTCATTTTCTTTTTGACATACTCATACATTACAGTCAATTTAGCTTATTCAATTTACCTATACTGCATGTTTTTGGACTGGA